AAAAAATTTTTAACTTTGAGAAAATCAAGGAGGCCCAAAAGCCCCCCCCCCCCCCCAACCCCTCAACCCCCTGACTAAGTCTGTGCTGCAGGGAGCCGTAGGTGTGTGCTCGGAAAATCATACACACACAGAGAGACACACACAAACACAGTCTGGATAATCCAGGAGCAGAGCTGGTAGGCGGGAGAAAGACGATCTGTTGGCGTGAGTGCCGGCCTCTAAAACAGAGATAGACAGTTAATGCCGGAGCAGACGAGGTTACGAGTTGAGGAAAAGCTAGTCCGAAGGAAAAGCCTGGGAGTGAACTTGTGGCTTAATGAATTGCTTCAAGGCAGGACGTGAGTGTGGGTTCTTTGCTGAGGGGACTTTGCTCTTGTTGGAGCTAAACGCAAAGCGAATCCTGGAGAATGGGTTGGAATGTGGCCAGATGGGGGTCTGTGAAGTATCCCGTGTGTTGCCGGAGGGTGGGTGGGTGAGGGGGGCGGGGACTCCAAAGGGGGAAGGGTGTTGTAGCAGCAGTGGGGGTGTGATGGGACACAGAAAGATGGAGGGAAGGGGGCGTCTCTGTTGCTTTGTTGTTGCTGGAATGCCTTCCTTTTCTTTCTTTTCGTCTCTCCGCTTGCATGCACTTGCCTCCTCTCGCTTCAGCTGTGCAGCCAGCGGCTCATCAGTAGGTTTAGGTCTACAGTACCTCTGAGGGTAATAACACACGCTACTAACAAATTTACTGCTCACCTTTAAAGTATGTTCTAAGTCCTCAACTTATTTTTTTTGTGTCTGTAGTGTGTTTAAAGTGATGACGCAAAGCTATTTTTGTTTGCCAGAAGCCACCTTCAAAATGCTTTTTAACTTGTTTTTGCTTTTATTTGGATTCCAACAAGTGTTAAACTGCTCTTCGATGATGACTTTTAACTGAGAGGGACGTTGGACCAAAGTTAAACTGGAAAACAGCCCCTGGGCAGAGGATGCATTGATTGACACGTCCAAATGAGTTTGTGTTTCTACATGAATGAAAGAAAAAACAAACAAACAAACAATGAGAATTTTCTACTTATTCCCTAAGGGCTACAGGGAATGTGAACCATTTTTGAGTCTTTTTCTACAAAAAAAACAACTAATTTCCGTTTTGTGTGTTTCCATCGTTCAGGTGATGATGCAATGACGGGGGATACAGATAAATATCTGGCCCCTCACGACCTTCGCGAACTTGGTGATGACTCGCTCCCACAGGAAGGCTACATGGGCTTCAGCGTTGGTGCACGGTCGCAGAGGTAAGGCTCACTGCAACACAAAACGGCAAAAACTCTTTGATGAGTCTAATGCTAACTTTGTTTGTGCTCCTGTGCAAAGGGTATATAAAGTGCCAGAAAGGCTATACAAATGTTAAGATAGTTACATTATTATTTTTTTTTAATGAGATATATTGACTGAGTATTTTATCTAATGGAGGCATGCAGTCAGCATATAACATCAAAAATGTCTGTTGCCATGCAGATGCTCTTTGGTTTTTTGTTTTGACTGGCCGCACAACCGTGTCACAAAAACTGTCCCTAAAATTTACATTTCTGTAAAACAGTTAAACTCTTACTAGTAAAACAGGGTATGATTATGCAGAAAAAAACATGAGATTTGCACAATTACTTAGGAGCGCTCTGATAAAGTATTCTGGTGAAATAGGAGGTTGACGCCTGTCAGTGCCAGCTAGAAAGGGGAGCAAAAATCACAATGTAGCCTAAATGTTGGTCACATTTTAATTTTTTGAATGACCGATTTCCACTCTGATAAGTTACAGGAAGATTTAACTTACGATAGAGACCTTTGGAATCCCTGGTAATGGTGCCGGTTTGTTAAGTCTCAAAGATTCTGCCTCAGAATAACATCTGACTGCCTGCTCCTCAAACCCAAGTTGAGCTTTTCTAATATAATGTCATCACTCTTCTGCATCCTTTGGCTACTGTTTGCTTACTTTTTTTTTCCACACATTTTTTTTTAAAGTTTCCACGTATGCTGAGCCTGAATAAAATAAAACAGGAAAACTTGTAAAAAAAATCTTGATAGATAATTAAATTTTCATATATAGCTTTTTCTGCGATTGTCTAAGTGGTTGCGTGCATCTATTTTAGCAATAACATCAACAGCCAGGGAGAGAATTGCAACGATCAAAGTTTTGAATATGCAAGAACTTGTTTTGACAATCAAGAACCAATGAAAACCTCACCAAAACAGACCAATATGTCTACTGCACACACTGCTGAAACTGATTCAGTTCGTTCAGCTACAACAGAAATATGCTAAAATAGAAATGGTGCAATCATTGAACTTTCACTGCATCTCTACAATGAACCACTGACTTGGCTTTAAAGGGACACAAACACAAAAAAAAATTTTTCCCCCCGGTTTTTTTTTTTTTTTTTTTTTTTTTTTTTTTTTCTGTCAAGTGCGTTGAGGTTTGGGATTTAGTTGGAATTAAGTCTTTGAGCAAATAAGAAAACTGGCTGCTTCTCCTCTGTGATCTGCTGTCTGCTATTCAAAGTCAATGTCTGTGGAAAAAATTGGGGTTTTTTTTGCAATATTTTGGAAATAATCACACTTTGAGTTGGTGAAGCGTTCTAAAATCTTACTTGTAAGATTTTAAAAAAAAAGTAGCTGCATGATACAGGTAGATTTATTCTTTCGAATAAAGTTATTTCTTGATTTATTATTTTGGACAAAGGCTATTTGCATAGACAAACTCTTCAGCAAAAACTAAATCCTGATAATTTCCTTATCAAATTCTTTAGAGAAATCACAGCAGGGGGAGTTTTTGCAGTTTAAAGTTCATTCTGTTGAACTTTATTCTCTTTTGAAAACATTGACAATTGTGCAACATACTGCAAAGGGAGGGACTATTAAATATCTGAGGAGTGACATAAACGAACAGCGAGCCATAGGAAATTAGAAACATGTTCAATTCAGAAGGCCTGAAGCACACACTGTCTGAGTGTGTTTAATCAATTTAGTTTACAACTAGTTTAACTGACTGGGCTTTTTGTTTGTCATCCTGCTTTGGCAGTTTTACTAGACGATCATTTATTAAAAGGTAAATGAATTAAACAACTTTTACTAGCACCCACAAATACGTCAAATGTCTTGCTACTAAAGCTGCAGTACCATTTCAGAACTGTGTATATTGATCATGTTATATTAAATGTTGATGCTTTGCCAGGAAAAGGAACGGCTGTTTAACATTGGAGTTATTGAAACCCTTGAATTGAAAAATGACATTCAAGAAAAAAAATGACATAAAAGATTTACATTATAATTTAGACATGGCACATAAATTGTAGAGAGTCGCAATAAAATGCTAATTCAAACAAATAAAAAGCAGAGGTAATTAAATAAACTGAAGCTAGATGCAGTCATTCAGCTGTCAGTGGGAAAACTACGTGCACCTCTAAAAATTAGAGCTGCAACATCGATTTTTTTTTTGTAACACAGCTACAGTAATTTGACTTAATGAAAATTGAAATAAAAGAAAATAAAATGTGCCATTGTTATTTTTACCTGATATCTTCTCTTGCAATGTTTGTTTCAAGATGATACCACATATTTAAGGTTTCGTTTGCTCTAATGTCTAACTTCCCTCAGAAAAAAACTATTTATGGTACATGTTCATACTCACTGCGTGCTTAATTGATGAATTAGGCAGATTATATTTATTTTAACCCTAACATCTAAAATACCTCATAAATAACACTCTGAAATGAAATCAGTTTGTAGATGAGTTATAAACGGAGCACTTTCCCCTTTTTCAAGTCAGCTTCATTCTGCGTCTCTGCTCCTGCTTCTCTTTGCATCTCTTCTTTCCCTCCTCTGTTTTCTTCATGATGTTTTATTCTCTCCTCATGTCCGCTCTAATTGTTAGTACCAAAGCCAGGTAAGGCTCTCAGCATGACGAGGCCCCTTCCCCCCACCCCCACCCCTATACCTCCACCACCACCCTGCCTCACCCTTTCCCCTTCCCTCGGATCCCAGTCTCTGTTAGAATAATGATCACCTGTTCTGAGATATTGAAGTTTTCCTGCGCATTTCACCTTCTAATCCAATTATTTTTTTTTTTGACTGGTCGTTTGGTGTTTTTTTTTTTACATTGTGGGATGTACTTGTGGTCTGTCATCTAATTTCTTACGTTTCAGCTGTTTCTAATAGCATCATCTGTTTGCTTTTGTGTTTGACTGTGGTTCTTGTCTGTGCCTGGGTCGTTGTGAGGTTTGCACAAAGTTGGAGCTTTGCATCGTTTCGGTTTGTTGTGGAGATTTCCATTATCGTGCTTCCAGGGACTTGAGCTGAAGCAGCATTTCTCTCTTTGCATTGCTCTTTCTATGCTTAACTCGTGTCAAAAGAAGAAAAAGAAAATACTCAGAGAAGACTAAGCTGTCCACTAAAGTATGTTTACCATTGTTAAAAACTAGGTTTCTGAGTGAACTGGGGTCATGCAGTGGTAGAGCATAATTCAAGTACAGATAAAACTACCTCCTACACTCTGGGACTAGTGGCTGATAAGAAACACATTTGTGCAAAAGTCAATTGTCAAACCCGCAGTGGACGCTTCAGAGCTCTGAGAGGCTCCTGCTCTTATTCACTTTTTTTTTTTTTTTAGCTTCACTTAAAGATGATGTTTGTGCAATTTTCCAAAGTCCCGCTCAGACGACTTCCTTCGTCTGAGCGGAGGAAGTCGTCTATCCGGTTTTCCTCTCTCTAATTACCAATTAGCGTAATCATTCCCGGGACGTTGCAGGCAAACGCTTCTCACGTCATTGCTCAGGAATGCTATTTGTTTACCTCATAAACGTCCATCCGCACGGCACACGGAGACTCCGAGCACTCTGTCGGAAACGTGAGGACGCAGCTGGTACACGTGACACAGAGAGGCAGTGCAATCGGGAATCAGCTGTGTCTTTATCACGAGGACGATTACAAATGTAAAATGAACCCTTTTGTTGACTATGTAGTACCAATGTTAACTAATAGTGAGCTTATTGTTGCTTTTCTGTTGCTTCAAACAAATGAAAACATTTTCTTTATATCTTCGTTTCAATTTTCTTTTTTTATATATATATATTGTTTGTGGACAGTCAGGTTCCTGGAAGCTGCATGCATTTAATGTTTTTTTTTTGTTTTGTTTTGTTTTTTCCGTTTACCCTCCACCCCTTGCCAACTCCTCCTACTCCTCCCTTTCCCCTCTTCATCACTGTGACTGTTGTCTTGGTAATCCGTGACTCCTGCCCCAACCACACCAAGCCTCCGTTCCTTCAGTTCCGATAGGTCCAACACGTTGAACCGGAGCTCCTTCACACGGGACAGCATGATGATCGAGGAGATCCTGGCTCCCACCAAGGACCCGGTATGTACTTTGTGCTTTGTGCATGACTCCTTTCAAAGTGACTCAGTAATCTGCCGGTCGTTAACAGTCACTACTGACACAGTTCTGTCTCCAAATGTGCTGGGCTGGCTTGGTGCTGAGCCAAAAGGAAGACAGTTCACCAATCCTCTTACACCTGAGGGGGTGCTGCGACACAAAGTCGACCAAATCCTGTTATATTTCACCTGAGAAGGGGGCATGACATCAGTCCTTAAGTCTTCTATCTAGGATAGATTACTCTGATGGCCTACTTCCCTTTACAGAAGGAATAACCATTGTCTGCCATCCGAGAATCTGGTTAAAGTTACAAAACCAAACGCATCTTTCACATCTACACAGAAAAAATGAAGACATGCAGTGGGGCACAAACGTTTTCAGCTAACACTAATTGGCGTTTTTGTAATATTTTATGGTGGCCTTGATTTAAAGAAAGTCTTTCAGAGTTCCTTCTTTTCAAAACCTGAATGAACGACTGACATATAGACCCATCAAAGACAGTACAATTTCTTTTTAAATACTCTTCACATCTCTATTTCTCTTAAGTTTATTGTCTCTGGTCAGGACAGGTTAACTTAAAACAAGCAGATTTAAGTCGGATTTCTGATTAATCTCTGCATTATTACAACCTCAATAAACAGAAAAAAAAGACTGACTGCCAATAATTTAACTGTATACTGTAACAATAATAATAAACACACACATATAATAAAATATGTGTGTGTTTTTCAGGTATCTGTAAGTGAAAAAGTAACTGAAAAAATAGATTATGGAAAACACAAATGGGTTAAAAAAGAGTTTACACACAACGCAGTGATGTAAAATGCATAACGTTGACATCAGCTCATTCAAACAGCTTGAGGCAGGAAGGCGCGGAGCAGCCAGATGGTTCTGATTTTGACGTTTCAGACACGTTTCCCTGATTGCAGCATTCCAAAAAGTTTATGGGGATGATGAGAAGTGAGGAGTCTTGTAAATTTAATGTCCTCTTCTGGAAAACGGACAGCGAGCAGAAATCCATCAGCCTTCATGTCCAGGTCTTTGCTAATCGCTCCTAAGAACTGCTTTATTTATTGGTGTTTGAATCGTCATCCTCTGTTTGGTCTGGTACAACCCAAAGAGTCGTGTTTTTGTTAGCTGTAAACAGAAAATTATAATAAGGGCTTGGAAATGTCGGCTTCTGAATTGAGTTATTGGAACAAATGAACTTCTCAATAATCTATTTCATTGAAAATGATTTTATTTGTGACATGTTGCTGCAAAATCATTTTTCAAAACAACACTGGTTTGTTCCCCGAGTTTGAGCCTACATAACTGAGTCAAAGTTAAGGACAAATTACCAGAATAATTGAACGATTCCCAAACACGAACGGAAAACTCTTAGAAAATCTGGCAAAATACTAGTGTAGACCAAATGACAAAAAAGTTGATAGGTAGCTGAAAACCTTTGCGCAATACTGCATGTGCTCTGTTCTAAACTGATCACACCGTTTGCAAAGAGTCCATGTTGACAGTAATTCGTTTGAATCTCCATAGGCTCCAACAGCAAACATTTAGCGTTTTAAAAAGCTCTACAGAAATTCCTGTTGGTTTGTGTGTTTCTCTCCAACTACTGTGAAATAATAGCATGCTGTTCTCCCTCACGCTGCCCCAGATGCTCTGTAAGGAACGGTCTTTCATTGTAGAGCATCACAATAAGGTAGACATCAGTATCGTCGTGCATGACACCGAATATTTTTGCTCGCTTACAGCTCCATCTTATGGATGTTACGCGCTAACTAAAACTGAGGAGAGGCTTTTATGATCCGAGAGAAATATAAAATAGTAGTTATTTTGGCATGTGTATTTAAAAAAAAAAAAGAAAAAAGGAAGCACACCTGAAGAATGCTGGGAGGTGAAAGTGCAGCATAATTCTGCATAATTCTTTAGCAGAAAATCAATGTTCTCTGGGAAAATACAGTTTCCCGGTAATGCTGATATGACTTTTGGATTGAATTGGTAAATACATCCTCACTAAATTTTTCCATTCATATATCCATTGGTCCTTACATTCTGAACCAAAAACTACTAATTTGGGTGTGGAATAATGTAAAACTTGAATGTCAAAATAAATTTCCTCACCATCTTCTTCAGCTGTGTTTCAGTTTTTTCATATCCAGCTTCGCATGTTTAGTCATATTTTACATACTGCATTAGGCTGATAGATACTTATTTATTTCTATTTATGTATTCATACTCTGGTTTTGAAGCTGAAAGCACTGCGGTCACCGCTTCATCGGAATCACAAAAATATTTTAGAATGAATGTCCTGTCAAAATGTAAACACTATGAATGTTTTACATTCTACGTAGTTCTGTGAAGACCTCAGTTGGAGAACATTAGTGGACAAACAGCATCATGCAGTCCAAGAAATGATTTCTCATAGAGCTCCGACAATCCATCACATGAAAATAGAAAGAATATGGCCAAACAAAAAGCTAGCTAAGCTGACAGGCCAGACAAGTGTTTATTCAGCTTCCAGCAGGACAGACAGCCCTAAATGTACAGCCAGAGCTGCAGTGGGACGGCTTAGATCAAAGCACCTGAAAATCTGTGGCAGATCTGATGTTGACAGACGGTCCTCATCCTTTCTGACAGTTTGAGCTGTTTTGCAAAAAAAAAAAAAAATTCAGTCTTCACGCCACACTTTTCAGACACTCACCTGTGAAAAAAAACAACAAAAAAACAAGTACTGTTTTTATTGACCCCAAATATAAATTCCAAATAAAACACATTTCTGTTCCTTTGTTGTTGCAACCTGACAAAATGCAGAAAAGTTATGGGTTGTTCAATTTTTTCCAAGGCACTTTATTTCCATTTTATAGAAAGAAATGTTAAAAGTTCTTTGCCAGATGGCAAATAGTCAATTCTTGATAATAATTGTTCTCGGCTTTGCAGCATCTGTTGATGACGAAGGACGCTGACAACGACTCTCTGAGGAGGTACAGCTGGACTGCGGACCACCTGGATAATGTCAACCTCGTCTCCTCACCGGTGCATTCTGGGTAAGCATGTTTGAAATGAAGAATGGATAAATACAGGAGAAGAAAGGAGGGAGCAGATGTCTGTTGTCTCCATCTAACCATGAAGATGAAGACAAAGGTAGAAAGAAGGGATAAGGTGGCGGATTGGTCCCTGCCTGCCTGTTTTGCAGTTTGTCTTCCAGATTTTTTTTTTTTTTTACAATTTTGTCTCCCTTCAGCCTTTAGCATGTCTGTACTTCAGCCACGATGGAGCTGCAACTGAAAAAAAAAAAAAAACATTTGACATTTTGGGAAATTTTCTGCATTTGATGAATAATCCCAAAGTTTCAAACATATTTTTAAGATTTTTTTTTTACAGTGTTAAAGCTCTGTTTTTGACTTATTCCTCCTTGCGTTACTTTGTCGTCCATCCTGCAGTTTTTCCTCTCCGCTCCCGCAGTACGACAGCAGGTGATTTGACTGTGATTGGTTGCCCTCTGTCACACCTTTCCCCTCTCAGTTCACTCATAACATCTGTCTTTGTCCTCCTCACTCATCAATTGACGTTAAACTCTTGACACAAGGCGAGAGCTAGATGTGTTTTTGTCCTTTCGTTTTCATTTTCTAACCGATCTGAGTGACTGTTTAAAAAAAAAAATAGGCTGAATGTGGTTTTAAAATGTTAAATTCTTTAGGATTTTCTTGTACATGCTGTCATGGTCTTTATGTTATCTTTCTCAACAGAAACTAAGAAGGGATGTTTTAGCTAAAAACTAGGAGAAGTCAGATGGACAACATGTTGCATCAGGATTCCCCCATTTTATCTCCCCTTTGTATCAGTTTTTCACAATGAGGTGGATGAAATTTGACCAGTCAGTGAGGTGATGATGTCTTTTATGATATGCTCTTTTTGACTGGTTAAACTGTAGCTATTATAATGCCTACTAAGGTCAGTAGAGTCTGAAATTTAGTTGCTGTTAGTCTACATTTTAGGTGAATTGGCTAAATTGCCCATTGCTAAGAATTCTGGGAACCACCAAAAAATAGTTTCCACTCAAGAATCTTTCTCAAGACAAACAACCTTCTAAAATGAATGCTTTTATGGAGGCAGTCACTTGCTTTGATCATTTAATTTATGCATCTGATTTGAAGCTTCTGGCTCAGAAACATCTAGATTGAAATAAGCATAGCCGGAAGAGATCTATACTTTTACTGGATGCAAAGTGAAGATGCACCGATCGTGCCTTTTAGATGCATTTACTAAAAAGAGAAAACAAATCAGATCTGTCTGTATTTGACCTCCCGATCTCTCGTCGATTGATTTTGTGCATCTCTTATTGGTAAAACTGAGAATAAATTGCTCTTTTATGTAACAACAAACAATTCAAACTAACATGACATTTCAGATCCCATGTTGCATGATTTGGGTTTGTGTGAGTGTAAGCTTTTTTGGTGAGTTAGGGACAGAAATAATTAACTTCCTGGTGTGAGAAAAACACACAAAAAAACACCAGAGGCTCCTGTGTTGGCAGCTTAAACAAAAATAACTGCTATAATTTTAAAATACACTTACTGGTCACTTCATTAGTAACACTTCACCGGTGCAAGGCTGGACCCTCTTTTTTTTTTTTTTTTTTACTTCAGAACTCCCTTCATTCTTTGTGGAATAGATCGAACTGGTCCATATTTATATAATGCCATTATTCAATTTCTGCAGGTTTATCTACGTCGCATCCATGAAGAGAGTCTTCCGTTCCACCACGTCCCAATATTGCTTTGTTGCACTCAGCCTCCAAGCACAACTCTTACTGGTGTGTTTGGAGGTCACTGGAGTACAATGAACTCATTGTCAAGTTCAAGAAGCCAGTTTGAGGTGATTTGAGCCTTGTGACACGACCCATTGTCCTGCTCGAAGTAGTTCTAAGATGAGTTTCCAATCTCTTATTGTCCTACTTTGATGAGCCTGTGGAAAATTTCTCTTGAGCTTACCTGACAGGACTGAAGCCTGATTTGAGTTCCCATCTGTGTTTAAGAAGGTAATTGAGAAGGTGTCCCTAATAAAGTGGCCGCTAAGTGTAGGTTTAATGTCTCCATCCGTGTTGTCCTTTTCTTACGTCAGTTCCAGCCAACATAGAACCCCTCTCGCATTTTTGTTCTCTTTACCGTTTTCCTCACACTTACTGTCAGTGTTTTAATAAGATCGCAGCATGGGACACGACCTCACCTTAACGACAATTTCTCTCCTCATCAGCACTACACTTAAAACAACATGGATTTTACTTCTTTCATCCCTGTGCATATATTCTCTCCTTGTTTCTTGCTCTGCTTCTGTCTATTCCTCCTCTCCTATTTCCTTCTCCTTTTTACGCCCTCATCCAGGTTCCTGGTCAGCTTCATGGTTGACGCCAGAGGCGGCTCCATGAGGGGAAGTCGCCACAACGGCATGCAGATCATCATCCCGCCGAGAAAGTGCACGGCACCCACCAGGATCACTTGTCGTCTAGTCAAGAGGCACAAGTTGGCCTCCCCTCCTCCGATGGTGGAAGGAGAAGGCCTGGCGAGCAGACTGGTGGAGGTTGGACCGGCTGGGGCTCAGTTCTTAGGGTAGGCCTGCATTTTTTATCTTTAAATATGTCTGATCTTTCCACTGCTGATTATAGAATTTTTTATTTTTTATTTATTTATTTAAAAAAAAAAAAAACATTCTTCATTCTGCTTGTTACATCCCCATTTGTAGCTATCTGAGATTGTTTTTCGGTGTGTGTGGGTGTGTGTGCATACTTTGAATTTGGATGTGTGCCGATTCTTAAACCTCATGTTCAGAAATAGAATAGTGAGTTTGAAAATAGAGATCATCAATAGTTTTCCAGGAGGTCCTGGAAAACTATTGATGATCATAAGGTTTTTAATAAATTTGTTTTCAGCTTATCAGAGATATTCACTTTTTTTTCCTTTGAAGTTTCTAATTTTGCAACTAAAATTGTTCCATTAGATGCATTCTCTGTAGTATCCCTTAACTACACAACTGCTTCCAATTATAAAATCAAAACATTATTCTTAAGCATAATTTATGACATAAACATTTAACGTATTTTCCTGTTCAAACTATTAACATCAGCATGTAAGAAAAACTTATGTAAACGCCGACAATTTGTTGTGAACATTAATGCGATAGAATATTCCCCAGTTATGATTACTATATATATATATATATATATAAAATCCTGGAATACTGTATCTGATTATGTCATTTATATACTAAGGTTAATTCATCACATCTGAGTTAAATAGGACGCATTTCAAACTGTTTCCTTCTGCGATATCATGGGAAAATAAAAAGAAATCAGACAAGATATCTGAAAGAAATTTGTGAACCCACGTATCCAATCCATACGTACAACTTTCCATTACCTGAAAAGCACATTGTTCACCTGTTCAAAAAAATCCAATGCAAGTAAAACACTAGGAATGGTGCTGCTGAATTGGCCACTTTAAAAACGTCAACTAATGTGTCGAGTATTTTTAATTTGCTCGGGCATAATAATGAAGCCACATTGCTGCAAATTTTGTGTTATTTTATGTCATATTTCATCTTCCACACAACTTCACACAGCTCTGATATTGTGTAACCTAAAGAAGAAGCTGGTTCAGGGTCAACTTGCCCCTTCGCCGATTTCACTTCCCTTTTCTACTTAATAGCCATGGAGTTTAACAATTGTGGGCCAATTTTTCTTAGTATTGAGGGTTTTTTTTTTTTTTACAAATTATGGGAAAAAATGGGTAAATACTCAAATCTTAAATTTAGTGTAATTGTATTCCATATTTTCTGAAGCTTAGGAAATATGAGAGATTATGAGCTCAGATTATCCTAGAATGATCTAATCAAACTCCTCAGTGAAATATTGAATTGACATCACACGCTACATTTTCTTACAGTAAATTTAAAATAATAACTACTTATGTGGGTACCAAGCATCAACAAGTCTGGCGAGAAAGTCCAAAACCTCAAATGACAGATGTTGATATTTTGTACCCTGAAAAGTTGGGGACAAGACGATTAAAAACGCTGCACAAGTGTGAAACGGCGAAGGGGCGAAATGTACCCAAAGAAGCCGTTGACTTTGTGAGTGTGTGTTTTGTATAAATGTTTGTTTCATTATCTTGTGGACACAGTAAGCTCCATCTTCCCAGAAAGCTGCCAGTCCTTAATGAAGGCGAGAGCCTGGTTAGTCCCGTGCTACAGCTGGGACCCAGAGGAACTAGATTTGTTGGGTAGGAACCAAGCATACCATAGCTCCCTTCACCTTTTCTCCCCTGCCTCCAACCTACCCCCAAGGAAATGACATATTGAGGCTGATCCATGCTGAAGGATTCTGTTGCCCATCTTTGTTGACTTCAGTTTATAAGGTTGTTAGCTTTATATGATTTCCATGTAGTTTTGGGAAGAGATTTAGTTACGGCACCGCAAAGTTTTTTTTTTTTTTTTTTACAGCCGTAGCAGCATCACATGGAGATGGTCTTGATTTATACTTTTTTTTTTCATAACTGACATTCTTCCTAAAACTACACATTGTAGCTTTGACTTCATTGCTGTTGATTTGTGACCACTTCATTCTACGGCACCTGCCACACTTATTGGCATCCCTTGTAAAGATGTGGAAAAAAGCTTTAAAATAGAGGTGTTTTTTTTTATTTTTATTTTTTTTATTATTTTAGCACCCAAGTCCCACGTAGAAAAACAGACAACTTTCCATTTTGAATGTACTTACTTAACGGATAGAAAAAAAGTGGAAGGACAAGAAAATCTTTCATTAAATAAGGCAGATTTGAGTTGATCCTCATACGTCAGCAAATGGTTATGAGAAAATGGCAAGTCATCTTATTTTCTACACAGAGTTATATTTAAAATCTGTAGCTGCAGCAAATAAGGTTGAATGAAAAGCCATGTGAAGGATAATGGAAAGCGAGGTTAAGTTTTTAAAAAAATGGGTCACTTATTAGTTTGAATAACCATTAGACACTGCATGCTAACCAGTTTTCGGAAGGGATGCCATGGTAAAGCCTTTTCTGTTCTGTCACAATAAATGTAAACGTCTAGAGTTTTCGAAACTCTGGCTGGAATTTAACTGGAAGTGTGTGCTTTGGTTTTTGAAGATTACGTTTTGTGTTTTTTTGGGAACAAATACTCCAGGCGGGGGTGAATTTGTGGATGATGCTATGGGATTGTTTCTTCCTAAAGCGCTTTGGGAATTGTGTTGCAGTGCATGTCATGATCATCAACTCTTTGAAATACAAGGACAGTTTAAAGGATGATTATCCAGACATAAAATCCAACTTTTTCCATGACAGTGTCACTACCCAGATAAAAAATATATTGAAAACCTGTCGTGAGCTGAAGAAAAAAAGAGTAAATGTGAGTGTCGTGTGGTGGTGAGGAGAGACGCAGAGGCCCAGGTTGTGATAAAGATGATGATAAATTTAATGAAGAAAGCTCAACAGTCCAGAACAGGCAGCATGGCAGAGAGTTAGCACACAGCTAATTACCGGTAGCAACTGAAAAACTAAGGACTGAAAAAGAGAGCTAAACCAACACAGGACTTTACAGTTCTACTGTGATGGCAGGCAAACAAATGACATATGTTTAACAAGGACCTGACAAGAGACAGAGACAACAGGTGGACTTAAATACACAGGGAGGGTAATCAGGTAACTAGACACACCTGGGACACAATCAACAGGGAAGACGCAGAGACAGAGACTCGCAGGACAGAAACTGAACACAGAAAACCCTTGAAAATAAATACACAGAAACACGGATCATGACAGTGAGGACTGATTTGACTGTCTAGACAGATTATGCAAAGATGAATAGTCAAAGATTTCTCATATTCTCTAAAGGTGCCAATCTTGTGAAATGTTCTAGGAAACAAGGTAAAGTCTTGTCCTGTTACCCAAACAAGGTTATTCAACAGTTGCCAAAAACGAAGGAAGTCGAGATTTTGTTAGAAAAAAAAAACTTTTCTCCTGTAATAAAATGTGATTTTATATTAAAGCTTTTAAAACATCATTACTAGGTTGCCAATAAGTGTAGAGAGTGGCACATTTGATTTTAGAAGCTCTCAGAAGTTTACTTCACTTAATATGAAGGTTTTGATTGGCTGTCTGGACTGGACTGCGCTTTGTTGAGCATGAGACTTTTTTTTTTTTTTTTTAACCCCAAAACCCAGCACCATTCTGCCTTCCATGACTTCCATCACTTCAGAATCAACATCGGATTTTCTGCATATCATTGATTTTTTTTTTTGTTTTCAGAAAAAAAATGCACGTTTAGTCAAACATCAGATTTTTGATTGATGCAAATAAATAAGTAAGAAATTAAGTTATATTTGTATCCTAGTAAGATCAAACTTTGCAGGTTTTGTATTTCTGTGATACTACTTCCGCCATGCATCATCTGTCTCACATAATTACACGAAAAACTCCATCAGTGGATGGTGATAATAGCAGTTGTAGCGGATCACTTTCATAACTTATCTCTTGAGTGCAGTAATTTGGATGTTTATCGAAAATCTAATATGAAAATAGGAAGTTTATGTTGAAAACTACAGACCGAGTGTTTTTTGAAACCGTGTAATTGGAATCTCTCCATTAGCTCCATTCAGCTATTTGGCTTCCCCAATGGTTCATGTACTAATCATCATCCAACCACAAGTCAATGGAGATTGCTGTGAAATATTTGGGATTAAGACGATGTATATTTGTTCTACTTTATTTTCTGCAACTGTATATAGATATTTTAATGTAATTTAGAAAACATGAATCATAAAAAAAATATCCTAAGCACCTAAAAAGCAGAACTACTCCATTAGCTCATGTATGGCTTTCCACACTAAAATAGTTGGGTTAATGTTACTTTTATATTTAAAAAAAAAGGTTCCAAACAACAAAAAGCATAACACAAAAGTGCTCAGTTTTCTGTTGTTAATAAATTATTTCAAGATATTATTTCATCTTCCTAATTCCCCGCCTAAGTGGAGGTCTCTGCCGAAGTTGAATAGGACACTCCTTATTTAAGGAACCTCCCAATCAGATATCCCAAATAGATTTTATGTCCACACTGTCGAAATGTGCTGTCCACCCATCCTTACGTACATATACGTACATAGTGGCTCCACCACATAGTTTAAAGCCTGGTGATGTGTCATGATCCTGCTGCTCTATTTTTGTTATGAATCCGGCTGCTTAACAAGATGATGAGCCAAACAGCAAGTGGTAAATTCTTGAACTTTCCTCGTAGCGTCTAAACAGGAAGAGTTCTAAATTTGATAAAGGAGTTCTCATATTGTGTTCCTCTGAAACTTTACACTCCTTTCTGTTACCATTATGTCTTGTGTCATTATGGGCTGTGCAGCTTTTTCCCCCCTTCATTTTCACCCCTTATTCTATTTCATGCACTACATTAGCTCTGAATGTCGCATCAACTCCTCAGGTTCCCAGTTGGACCTATTATCCATCACTGCCATCATCAAAACCACGTCTGTGATGTTGTCGTAACCATCACGTTCACCACCGAATGTTTCTTTCATGGCAGCTCTGTGCAGATATTATTTTTGGCTTCTACAGAGATGCTGCTTAAACCTACAAATGTTTGTATTACAAATTATGTTTTACACTGCACTTTGGAAAAAATAAAATTAAATATTTACTTTCCATTTTGCCTCAATCAAATTCTTCAAAACTTCAATTCTAATGCATATGTTTGTGGTTTTGTTAGATTGTTGCTTTTCAGTGAAAGGCGAGGTGATAGTATTATTAAGTCATCCGTATATTTCTGACATGTCTCCTTCCAGGCCTGTGATAGTGGAGATCCCACATTTTGCCTCAATGCGGGGCCAAGAGAGAGAGCTGATCCTACTGCGCAGTGAGAATGGAGAATCCTGGAAGGAACATTTGTACGACTGCAAGACCAGCGACCTCAATCAGCTCCTCAACGGGATGGACGAAGGTGACGCAAACCCAACTCATTTTGTACTTAGCCTACGGCCACTCTGCCTTGCCAATAAGACATAATAATTGGTATTTCTACCTCTAGAAGATAAAGCTACAGATATAAGAGCTATTGGATAAAAATAAATAGAATAAACACATCTGCATTGAGTTGCTGGATGAAAAGTGTCAAACTTTGCATAATTCCCTGGGCAAGCCTCTCCTTCCAACCAATCAAAATATAGAAAATTATCTAAATTCTGGCACAGTATAAAATGCAGTGCAGTGGATTCATGCACTATGTTTTATCGTTTTATCAGATGCTTGTGCATCCATAGTTCTACTGCCACCCTGGTAAAGTGCCCACCCATTTGTCCGATATGAAAATCTACCACTGCGTCTGACCCTTATAAAACAATTCAATGTGATATTTTATTTTTTATATATATTTTTATGATACACAAAACACGGTTAGGTTATAAAACAACAGTCCAACCTTTGAACTTGAAATTCAATCCATCATTTAGCCAACCTCTTCATAGTTTTAACTAGGTTAATACTGTTAACCTACTACTACCTACATAGTATTAACTAAGTTAACTAAGTATTAACTAAGAATGACCAGACTCCATCAGCTTTGCACATGTTGAAACTTTTTGCCTATTCTTCTTTGGTAGTTAGCTCACACCAAGTTCGATTGGCTGGAGAGTGTCTGTGAACATAAATGTTTAACTCTTGTTAGATATTCTCGGACTGGACTATGGACTTTGCTTTCCAATGCTTTGACATGAAACCATTCCACTGTACCACTGGCTGTATAGTTAGAGTCATTGTCTTGCTGGAAGATGAACGTCCTCCACTTTCTAAAGTGTTCCGCAGCCTCTGCCAGGTTTCCTTTCTCGATTTCCTCGTATTTAGCTCCATCCATCTTCTAATAGACTCTGACCAGCTTCCTTGTCGTTGCTAAACCATGCTGGAGAGAAAGTTTTGGAGGATTTTTTCAATTTGAAATTCTTCCCCCCCCCCCCCCCACACACACACACACACACACCTATAGTGTTTTCTAAGGTGAAAAGTTAAATTTTGGTTTCATGTTATCTGATCTACTTCTTTCACATATTTGCTGTGTCCCCTTTGTGATTTGTGCCAAAGTTCAAATAAGACGTTTATGGCTTTCGTCTCGCAACTCTTACATAAAGGACAGATTTTTGTAGTGCACAACTAATAGTCCTGCCAACAGATTTTTCGACTTGACCTGGGGATCTCTGCAGCTCTGCAGTACAGTTACCATGGGTCTCTTGGCTGCGTCTCTGATGAATGTACTTCTGTAAATTTATTTGGACGTTTGTCCTTGTAGGTTTGCGGTAGTGTCCTCCTCATTCTTAGGCTGTGTACAAACAACAGGGATTTATGATCCACATCCAGTTTTGTTACTCACATGCAACCCATATCCATGTCAGCTCTCATTTCTGAATAATTTCAAAAAGCATACATACTTTTCCTCCTACTTCAGCATTATGCACTACTGTGTTTGTCGATTGCATAAAATGTCATTAGAGTACATTACCGTTGTGCTTTTAACATTAACTTTGTGGAAACGTTCCATGAGCGCAGAGGTTATTGCAAGACACATGCGAGTGATCTTCTACAACACGAACACTTTCCTCACAGAGCTGGACAGTCCTGAGGAGCTGGAGAGGAAGAGGATCTGCCGTATCATCACCAAGGACTTTCCACAGTATTTTGCTGTGGTGTCCCGGGTCAGACAGGAGACCCATCAAATGGGACCAGAGGGTGGGACTCTCAACAGCCGGAGCGTCCCATTAGTTCAGGCTTCCTTCCCTGAGGGGGCGCTGACAAAGAAAATAAAAGTTGGATTGCAGGTATATGGTTAAAGCTTCCCATGTCTGTTGGTGCATTTCTTCTGTACTGAGCGTTTCTACTCAGTTTTGAGTACAGAAGCTTTGAATATTTACAATTCAAAGCAATGTAAATATCTTAAAATTAATCTCACATCGCTCAATCGCCATTGTGTCTCTTCCGCTAGGCCCAGCCAATTCCTGAGGACACTGTAAAGAAAATCCTTGGTAACCGAGCAACCTTCAGCCCCATTGTTACTGTGGAGCCCAGGAGGAGGAAGTTCCACAAGCCCATCACCATGACGATCCCTGTGCCGCCGCTCTCAGGGGAAGGGCTTACTAACGGTTACAAAGGAGACAGTACACCCTGCCTCCGCCTCCTCTGTAGCATAACAGGTGAGTGCTGGTATTATGTAGCTCTTTGGTGCTGTCAAGTAAATAAAAAGGCAGGATCACTTTTTTACTCTGCACATACACAAACATTCGAAGACTATGAGCTGTGGGCATGAAAATGTCCGACTTGAAGGAATATTTTAGGGTTTTGTTTCATAACCCTTGGATTTTCCTTCCACATAAAATCTCAGTAAAATACACAGAAGTCTTTTGATTGTTAGTTGACAAAATGTAAAAAAATAAAATTTCAAAGCATATGGATACCTTTGCAGAATGCCACCAGTATAAATAAAAGTTGCAGTTGCTTATTTTTATCTATTAAATAACTGGTTTATATTTTGATTTCAAATGAATCACATTAAGTGTAAAATTGTATCTGTGTGCAGGTGGAACATCTCCAGCGCAGTGGGAGGACATCACTGGAACAACTCCCCTCACATTTGTTAATGATTGCGTCTCTTTCACTACCAATGTCTCTGCCAGGTGAGACATACCGGACAAACGCCACGAATGGTTATTTATTCATAAATGCGTGAAGCTTCCATCGGTTTCTGTATTGTTGTTTCTCTTTGCAGGTTCTGGTTAGCAGACTGCCACCAGATCCCCGAGACAGTAAGCTTGGCCACTCAGCTCTACAGAGAGCTGATCTGTGTGCCCTACATGGCCAAGTTTGTTGTGTTTGCTAAGATGAATGACCCAGTGGAGTCCAGCCTTAGGTGCTTCTGCATGACAGACGACAAGGTGGACAAAACCCTGGAGCAGCAGGAGAACTTTGAGGAGGTGGCGAGGAGCAAAGACATAGAGGTACACAGTTTTACTGCATCTTCTTAACTTAGTGTCTGCTCTTCTCTTCAGCTTCAAGAACCTTCTGGGGGAAAATAAAAATACATATAATGCAAAACTTTTTTTTTTCACACTACTGTTAAATTATTACAAAATTATTTGTTATTACATCTTCTAATTTCTTAATTTTCATCTGTTTTTTTTTCTTGATTCATACTTATTTCAGGTCCTGGAGGGAAGGCCCATCTATGTGGATTGCTATGGAAACTTGGCTCCGTTAACCAAAGCTGGTCAACAGTTAGTTCTTAACTTCTACGCCTTCAAGGAAAACCGTTTGCCCTTCTGTGTTAAGGTAATCAAACCACACCCATCCTTTCATACTGATATAGAGGAGAAAGTATAATATGGATGTATTTATACTGGGTCTTGCAAACCACTTTGTCACCCTAAGTGATATTTTTCACCTTCATGGTGATGTAAAAGACTCATTGCCATTCTTGTCATCAAGGTTGACACAACCAGTTAATATTTAAAGAGCTTTTTTTTTTGACAGTGCCTGGTGGAGTTGAATTATTTTCATTGTCTGGTTATTTCAGACTAAAACCAGAATTTGTGTTGGAAAGGTCACACAAAAACAAGAATGGAACAGCCCTGTAAGGGAGAAAGTTTATTTTTTTGTTTGTTTGTTTTTTTCTTTTACACCACTGCAAGTGTACAGTACTGACATACATGCTATTAGTTGAAGAAATCTGCAACAGAGCAAAGAACTGAAAGTAATATGTAGAGATAAAATTTTCTCCCTGCAGGTTAGAGATCCCAGTCAGGAGCCATGTGGTCGCCTCACTTTCCTTAAAGAGTGTAGGTCAACCAAAGGCCTCCCACAGACTGCCGTGTGCAACCTGAACATCACGCTTCCCGCGGTGAAAAAGGTAAGGCAGTGGGAACTCTCCATTCTGTTTTCACATCCATAACCACACTCATGGTTAGGGTGGTTTTCGGCCCCATGGTACAGATTGATGAAAGACGGAGGTAGAATTTTGGCAAACCTGCTGCCACAGTGTCTTTTATCTGTTTAAAGCTTCTCTCTCTGTTTTAGTCACTGGTTATCTCTGCAGTGGATTCGTGTCATTGCCGTTTTATTTTGATTCTTTCTGCCCTTTGATTTGGATCCCTTTGGCTGAGAGCTTGTGTGCTTTATATTTTTTATTTCTATTTTATTTTTGGGCTGTTTTTTGGGCTTGATTCATTTGCTGTTATTGCTTCTGGATGTTGGCGCTTTGTTTGCATATAATTTATTTTCTGTGTGCGTTTTTATTTTTGCTTTGGTTTTGCTGAAGTGGCTTCACTTCTGCATTTGAGCTTCTGTCAATCACTCCTTTTTCACTCCCTGATGTTTCTTTTCCCCCTGCTTTCCATTATGTTACTCCCCCTGTTTCTGCAATGCATCTTGGGAACCAGGAATCGGAGTCAGATGCCGAGGACGAGGTAAACCACACGTTCCCCACCATGTGCTGTCCTCTGCACCAGATCAATAGCGGCCCCGCTCTGCTCCTTTATGCCTTTTTTCTTTTTTTCTTTTTTTACCATGTTTTGCAAGGGGCATTACCAGCTTTCCCTGTCCATGGCCCCTTCTAGCTGCACAGTTTTGCATGATATATGGTAGCTTTGTCAGAACCCCCAATCCCCCAAAAAACTCATCTCTTATTTCCATCCATGTTCCCTTGCACACTCCAGTATGAGATAAAACTGGCTCTACAGGATCTATGAATTTCCCAAATTTGACTTTTGCAAAATTAGGGATTTGTGTTTGAGAGATTTTAAACTTATCGTGACTAAATTGGCTAGTTTATTATACTCACATCTAACATAGCTAAAAGCATAGTTACAGATCGGTGAATTTATAAGTATAAATTACCACAGACTGCCAGGTTTGGTTTAGTTTTATAATTTAAAGGTGCTCATTTTGTAGCAGTTTGGAATATAGGGTAACCTAAAACTGATAGGATTTTGTGTTGTTTGCTATTGTTGCAGACTGAAAAGCCAGATCGACGTCATACCTTTGCATCCCTAGCCTTACGTAAGCGCTACAGCTATCTGACTGAGCCTGCACAGAGTGAGTTTGACTTCATCACTAACAAACCCCTTTGAGTTTAAAATTTTGCCAAGTTTATTGGATTGATAAGTGTGCAAAGAGGTTTAATTAACTTGTAAAATGAGTGAACATTGTGTAGAAATGACTTTCTTATTGTGACAAACACATATTTCTCATTCCACATACGACACATACTGTTCATGTGCTTGTTCACAACATGGTATATATTTTTGCATGAGTGATTTTTAAGTTTTGTGTGCTGTGCTTGCCCACGTTGTGAAGTGTGCGCCTTTCGAGTTCCAACGGCTGTGTTTTGGAAGTTTAAATTCTGCAAAATTTTACTTTAACTTACAAGGAAGAATTATCCTTTTGGATGGAAGTCAAAGTAAAATTCTGTTTGCGTTTCATTTGTGCTCTTGGTTTTTTGTTTTTGTTTTAAGGCTTTTTTATTTGGCTTTGTGGCAATGTTTCAGCTTAGTTTGGTACAAGAATGCATGCTGGAGGTCTTGAGTTACTTTTTTTGTTTTCCCAGGCTCTGCTTGTCACAGGTTTGATGCTGCATGACAAAATGGGCTAAAGCTGGAGTCTTGGACAGCACATTTTGTCTTTTTTTTATTTACAAAAGATAAAGGAAAATGGGAAGTTCTGCAGCTCTTTGCTTTATTTTATCATAATGTTTAAACTGCCTGTGAAAAAGACTGTCCTTTTTGGGCCAAACAGATAAAAGGCACTATAAAAAGTGGTCTTAATTTCAAGCCAGAGACAATATGCTGGTATTAAAATGTTTGAAGTCCAAAGAGAGAAGTTGTTTTTTGTGTTTATCATCTTGCATTTGTCCCGCCATTATTTTGTCTCTCAGCTGTCGATCTATGTCATCGTCTTTGCAAATTTACTTTGCTGCTTTATGTGTTTTGTTGAGTTTATTTCCTCCATCCTTGTTGCTACTGTTGGACTTGGGTTCTGGTCATGTTCTCCCTTTGCCCAGTTGTACCTTTGAATTTGTGGTCATTTAATATTTCAGATATGAAATGACGCTGTCTAACACAGGATGTGTGGCAGCAACTGTGTATCAACTTTAACCTGTTTTCATACCAACTTTGACAATTGGCGATGCAAGGAAGTTTTTTTTTATTTTTATATTCTTATCAAAATCTAGTGTGGGGATATGTATTTGACTCCAGAAATAATTTCTAACAATTGGAAGTCATGTCTTTGTAGTCGTTGAATGTCATGGGGCAACAAACACAATCTCAGATCTCAACTAACATAAGTGAAAATAGAGAAGAGTACAAAATTTGTGGCTAATAATACAATTTAATATATATCAAAATCAGACATAAATGACCTAATTAAATAAAAGTGTTGTTTTCAAATGATTATTTTATTAATAATCATTTATTATTGGTAAAATAATACATTTATTTATCAATAATGACTTGATAAAATGTATTTTTATAAAATAAATAAATTTATTTATTTATTGGTTGATTGATAAATAATTAATTAAATAAAAATAAAAATAAAAATTTTGCCCTAATTTGCCCTATCAATTTAAAAAATCTATTATTTAAAATAATTAATAGCATTTTAACATAAGCTGATATTCCATGGCTTACTGACATGGGTTTGACTCGGTTTCTTTACTGTACAAGATTGAAATAGGATGAGAAAAATGTGAATTGTTGGGTATGAAATGATATTAAGACTTGGCAAAGGGGTGAACTGACCTGGAGCCTGTTTAGTCATTACCTAAACCATGACCACACAAGAACACTGTTTCTTTCTGTAGCTCCATTTTTAGTCGTTTCTTAAATGTCTTACTCAGCAATTAAAAACTGCAGTTTATCCCTTCCCAATACTACAACAGCCTCACTGACCAACTCTTCCTCCTCTGGTGTTGTCTTTTTTTTCTCATTTTTTTTCTTCTCCAACATATATTTCTTTTCTCTCTATTCTTTTCCATTCTGTTGATTATTTTCTACACCATCCCGTTTGTTATCATTTTTTTTCTCTAACTTCACCTGAAGAAACAGCAGTTGAACGAAATGCAGCAACAAGAACACTGCCTTCTGGTCACCCTCACAAACCTGTCTTTCCAACCAGACCTTACCCACCATGGTCGACTGCTCCTATTACCGTCCCTGGCCAAACAAGGCCCATCGGAGTGGGGGGTCTCCTCGCCTCTGCCGATCCACCGGCAGGCTCACCAGCTAGTTCTCCATTAAAATCCGCCTGGCCCCTCTCAGCACCTTCACCTGCATGTCCCACAACTATAAGAGCAACCTTGGGCGTTTCACCCCCAGCACCCGCCTCGTCATCCCCAGTTAAATCGATCAGCGACGTACCATCATCCCCCATCAGGTCTTACAGGACTGTGCCTTCACCAATTAAAACTGTTGTCCAGCAGGGACCATACCCCATTCACGGGTCTGCCATCCTTGCAACACCTGGAAGTAAACCTGCCACAGATCCGGCATCAATTAAAAATCTTGCTCTGGCTTATGCATCAAGGACCCCTTTCCATCCTTCAGCACCAAATGCTTCTTTATCTGAGAGGTCATCAGCTGCTACTGCTTCTGTCACATCACCAAAATCCCTGTACAACCGCTACAGTTCTAATCTGCCTTTTAAATCTGCCCTTGTGACAACAGCTGCTTCAGAAGTTGCCAACCTTTCTCCTGTTAAAAGCATGTCCAGTCTCTCATCTCTAAAGATGTCTGTTGACTCAACAGTCACATCCCGAGGAGGGAGGACATCCATGTCGTCCGTGTCCTCAACCGGTCAGACAACCATTGCTTCCTCAGAATTTTCCATGATGAACGGATCAGTCTCACCTGTTAAATACCCATCCTCCTCCTCCACCCCATCCTCGCCTTCTTCACGTCTTCTCTCAGAGAGAAGCAACAGTCTTCAGGAGAGGATCCAAGCCACCACTCAGGCAGCAACCTCCGGTGTCAGTGCAGCCATAAATGAAGCTTTAGACTCGTACTCAGTCTCAGGATATGGCACACTTAGGTCATTGTCATCTTCACGCAGATCTGCAACAGCAACCTCTGCTTATGGTTCTCTGAGATCTGCATCAGCAAGCCCAAGTCCAGCAGTCTCCTCAAATACAATGACTGTCCCTGTTTATTCACTTGTCAATGTCCTCCCTGACACCCCTGTAAAACCGGGTCCTGGGTCTCTCAAAATGGCACTGCCCGATTCTCCTCGTACCTCGTCCACCTCTTCTTCATCTTTCCCCTCATGCGTTACTGGAACAAAACTGAAATCACAATTAAAATCTCCTCCATTTATAACACCGCCAATCATCCATCCAACTGCAGCCTCCAATCAGGAGATACTTAAAGATGTAGCAGATATGAAACAGGACCTAATTAGAATGACGGCTATCCTCCAGACAGACACACAAATGGCTGCTAAAACTGTACAAACATCAAACACTGGCACACCTAAAGAGTCTAAGTTAGAAGATCAGGAGCCACACACACTAGTTGAGAAGGTCAAAAAAGATTTAGTCAAAGTCAGTGAGATACTACAAAAGGATATCATGGCTGAAGATAAGACCATTTCAGGTCATGAGACAAGTTCAGAGGAGGAATGGCAGGAATTTTCCAGAGACGAGATAGAGGAGGCACAAAGAAGTGTTCTCCGAGACTGTTACTCTCCATTTGACGAAAACGCTCTTTTTAAGCACCAGTCGATGCCAAGCAACGAGTTAGAATTCAGTAAAGTGGTAGATTACTTAACAAATGACATTGGTGCAAGTTCTCTGTCGAAAATGGCACAGTTGAAAAGCGAGCATGAGGATGAGGTGAAAATAGAGGGGGAGGAAAAACAAAAACGAGTGCTCAAGCCATCCATGACCATACAAGAGCACAAACTCAAAATGCCTCCTCCAGTTTCAGGCATGATCAGATCTCCCTCAGAGAAGGACTTAAGCAAGCTTGCTGAGTCATACCAAGGGTCGGACACAATCTTGGAATCTCCCGAGGAGCTGTCTCATGAGCAAGATAAAAGTCCCCTCTCAGACAGCGGGTTTGAGACGAGAAGTGAAAAAACACCTTCTGCTCCTCAAAGTGCAGAAAGCACAGGCCCCAAACCTTTATTTACAGATTCCCCAATCCCCCCCTGTGTAACTGAGACCAGAACTGAGGTTGTCCACATCAGGAGCTACGAGCAGCCGGATGATCTTTCTGAGCCTGGAGTCATGGAGGAAGCTGCATCTGCTTTACCTCCTCTAGAGCCAGAAAGTTCATCATCAAAAGCTTTGCAGATGAAAATACCAGAAGAGGATGCCTTAATGAACAAAAGCATGTGTCTTAAAGAGGAAACTCATATCACTACCACAACCCGTATGGTGTATCACAAGCCTCAACTGACGGACGGCGCAGAAATGATAGAGGAAGCCATGTCAGTCAGAGACATCATGAAAGCTTTTCAGTCAGGACGAGACCCATCTAAAGAACTGGCAGGCCTCTTTGAACACAAAGCTAGCCAAGAGTCTGTCAAAGGTGATGAACTCACCCCAAGGTTTCTAGAACGAGATATTAAATCCAAACCTAAAGTTGAGAGGATAATTGAAGTTCATATTGAAAAGGGCCACAGCACATCAGACCCAACTGAGGTTATTATCAGAGAAACAAAGAAGCACCCTGAGCTTTACGTCTACAAAAGTGACCGTGGAATAAAGGAGCTTACTGATTATGATGAGGCCCAGCAGGAAGAAGAAGAGCTTACTGCCGAAGAATCGTTGCCCTCCTTCCTAGAAACATCTCGCGTTAACACTCCAGTGTCACAAGAAGAGGACAGTCGTCCAAGTTCTGCCCAACTCATAGGAGATGATTCGTATAAAGCTCTAAAACTATTAAGCCAGCACTCCATAGAATACTGTGATGATGAACTATCTGAAGTTCGAGGAGAATCGTATAAGTTTGCTGAGAAAATGCTTCTCTCAGAAAAAATTGAAACATCATTGCAGTCTTATTCAGACGCAGAGGATTCTGCAACGGTGGCAGACAAAAACCGCCACCTTGCCTCTGAGGAGACTGGTAGGTTTGAGGGCACAAATCAAGGCAAAGGAAGCCCGAAAAGAGAGTTTGTTTCTAAGTCATCAAAAGATGGGTCCCCTAAATCAGGTAAATTCCTGCACAAAGATGAACCTTCTCAGTTTGACAAGGTGACAGTGCTCCATTACTCAACAGAACCAGGCAGTCCAAAACATGCGGTTTGGATGAGATTTACTGAAGACAAACATGATAGAAGTAGGGACAAACTACTTTATGAAGATCGAGTAGATCAAACAGTGAAGGAGGCTGAAGAAAAACTCAGTGAGGTATCTCAGTTTTTCCGTGATAAAACAGAGAAGCTTAATGATGAGCTACAGTCTCCTGAGAAAAAGCCAATTAGAGGACTGAAGGAGCCTAGATCCTGGCCTAACTCTACCTCCAGCAGCCCAGAAAAAACACAACAGAAACCTAAAGCAGGGGATGAGTTCTTTAGTAAAACCAAACTTAAGGAACCTTCAGTTGATAAATTTTTTAGCAGCTCTCCAGCAGTAGAGAAGAAAAGCTCTAGCTTACCAAGTAGTCCTCAGAAAAGTGTCAGCTCTTGTACTACTCAAGATAAAATCAAACAAGAACCAAAGACCTCTTTGTCTGAACCCTCGTCTCCAGCTCATGTAACTTCAACATCAAAGGTCAGTGCAGTGAGGATGAAGTTTGAATCTGCTGCTCAGAAGGTCAGTCAAAGTCAGTCCAGTCCTACTAAAATCCCTCCACCTGTACAACCAAAACCATCAGTAAAGAAATTGCAGGAAAGCAAACTACCTGTTTACCAATTTGGCTCTGGAGGAAAATCCTCAAAAGTATCTGAAACATCAGAAGAAAATGTCCAAGAAAAGAATGAGAAAGACAAAGCAAATAGCAAGCCTGACCCGATACCCACATCTAAAATTCCCAAAGCAGACAAGCTTCCAAACAAAAACTTAATTGAGCCCCCTCATGACATTTGTGAAACTACGACTGATAAAGTAGCACCTAAAGGTAAAGATAATCAGTTCAGTGTGACCCAGGAAATTAAGGAAAGTAATAAAAGCTACACTACTAGGATGTCTGTTGTTTTTGACAGTGATGCTAAAAAATACCAGCAAACCACTAAAAGTGTGTCATCTACTAAAGATGTAAAACCTGAACTGCCCAAAAATGATTCAGAGGAACCAATAAACAAAAACCTTAGAAAAAAGACAGAATCACAGATTCCTGTAAGAACCACAACCCCCTGTTTAGATAACAACCTTACAAAGAAACAGACGACAACAAAACCCTCGCAGATACCTACACTATCTAAACCTAAAAGCCCAGAAACAGGCCCAGCAAAAACAGATTTAACCTTTGAAATTCTTGACAATTCACCGAAAGATTCTAACTCCAATAATCTTCCCAGCCCCAGAGAAATACTGGAAAAAATAATAGCTCCTCCAGTTGTAACAACCAAAGAGAACTTCAAAGGCATCAAAACATTGCCTGTTTATGTCCAGGTTGGCAGGCAGGCAGAGAGGGAGGCTAAGGGGTCACTGTACACAGTAAAACAGAAATCAAGCTCCGCAATTAGTCCCATAAGCCCAGAAGATGATACATTAGAGCAAGTTTCCTTCATAGACAGCTCAGGGAAAAGTCCTCTTACACCAGAAACCCCCAGCTCTGAAGAGGTCAGCTATGACCTCACATGCAAAACTCCTGATGGCTTTATGGAATTCATTTCAGGCAAGCCAAGCCCCATCATGGAGGTATCTGAGGACTCGGAGGAAGATGGTCAAGCAAACACAGTTTTCTCATTTAAAGAGGCAACAATAGAAAGCAAAAATAGTGTTCATGACGCCCAGGCAGACCTTGCGAATGCTAATAAAGAAAAAGCAAAAATGAATGACAATCAGCTGGAATTGCCTGATAATTTTAAAGAAGAAGAAACCATCAACAACTTTGATGGTGATATTAAAGATCAGGAGCAACAAGAAGTGTCAAAAGACAAGGGTATTGCATACATTGAGTTTCCTCCTCCTCCCCCTCTGGATTCAGCTTCAGAAATTTCAGACACAGAGAGAAAGGGCTCCTGTGCCTCTTCAGAGACTGAGACAGAAATGATGGAAGTGAACTTACAAGAGGAACACGACAAGCATCTGACCGAACCAGTTATACGTATACAACCCCCTACTCCGGTGCCCCCTAGCACAGATGACAGTCAATCAAATGCTGACGAAGATGATGAGTCAATCTTCCAGCCAATTCCATGTAAAAAATTGACCTCCAATCTTCCTGAAGAAGAGGAAAAGAAAAAAGAGAAAGAGAAAATGTTGAAATCTAAAAGACATGACAAAAATGGCAACAAAGAACCTGGTGGGACCAATGGTTCCAATGGCTCCACCAATGGTTCCAAAGCTTCCAATGGTAAAGGGGAGGATAATGACTGTGAACAAAATGGAAATGACCAGTCAATAACAGACTGCTCAATAGCCACAACAGCTGAGTTTTCTCATGACACAGATGCCACAGAGATAGACTCTCTCGATGGCTATGAGCTTCAAGATGAGGATGATGGCCTGTGTGAGCAGGCTGATTTACGACTTTTTGGACTTCCAGACAGTCGGAGAGATGTTTGGGCAACAGACACATTTAGGTCTTCCGATCGTTCTTTTCCCCAGACCAAACTGGAAGTTATTGAGGAGGAGAAGACCCCCGAGGAATGCCAGAAAGACATTTTAAAAAATGATACCTCCACCTGTAACGGAAAATCTGATGTCGTTAGTAAAGATGGAGCTAAAACCCAGGAACACTCAGAGAAAGAAGGATTTTCAGACTCTTACTTTAGTTACAAATTAGAAGAGGAGTTCAATTCTCCTTTTAAGACTGTTGCCAGTAAGGGGCTGGACTTTGATCCATGGCCCAGTAAAAGCGGTGAAGGAGAAATTGTTGACATGGGGGGAACAAGGGGAAACAATGGGGAGCCAAAGCCTTACGGACTAGCTGTTGAAGACCAGTCTCAGGCTACGACAGCAGAAACTACACCTGCTCAAACTCCAACGGACGATAGCACACCAACGAGTGAACCAAACCCATTCCCCTTCCATGAAGGGAAGATGTTTGAGATGACACGCAGTGGTGCGATTGACATGAGCAAGAGGGACATGGTGGAGGAGAGGCTCCAGTTTTTTCAGATTGGTGAGCATTACTACTCAGCAGGCAAGTACAGGGTCAGGGACTTTGAAAACGATGCCTCCTCACAATGCATTAATGAGTTTAATTCTCAGTATACCTTACCAGTCCCTCAAGTCTCCATTCAGACAATGACTGTAGAGATAGCCAATGTGACTGGTTACAGCACATGCAAAGAGTCAGCTTCCACCACCGAGTCAAAATTCTCTACTTTTAAAGCAGGTTTAAAGCTAGCATCATCTGATGCTTCAAATAGCACTTCTAAATATACAAGCACTTTTAATCGGAGTAGTGATAATGTTTCAGGAACCACTGCAGATAGATGTTATTGTGCTATACCAGACTATGCAGATCACATTCATTTTGATACGTTAAACGTAGCACATAACTCTTTGAGGAAACCGTCATTTGTCATGGATTACTATTCTGACGGCAATATTTGTGCAGACAGACCTAAACAGAACCCAGAAGATGAAAAGACTTGTTACCAAAGCACCGATTGTCTTTCAGCACCTTCACAACAGACCAGCAATCTGCAAACATTGAGCAGCAATACCAGTAGCACTATCCCTGACTCCTATTTAGGTATTTCTCAAGATAGCAGCATCATGTCCAATTTGTTGTCCTCTGCAAGACCAGCACTGCAGGAAGTCAGTGGGTCAGAAACCTCTTTAAGCCAGTTAGAGGAACACTATGGGAAAGACGAGACTGTTTTTAATGTAGCAATAGCAAAAACAGAAGCCAAAGGAGTCAAAGGCCATATATTTAGATCCAAGTTGCCCTTGAGGGTGGCTAACCACAAACTATGCAGCCAAAGGCATCATGAAATAATGGGCATTTCGAAAGAAAATGCTCGTGAATTTTCTCTCAGGACACATAAGATGCAACATAAAGTTTGGGAACGATTTGACCCTTTTAAAACTTTATTTCCTAAATCCCGAATCCCTATTTTGAAAGCCATTAAAATCCCTTCTAGTTCCCCAAAACAGCCACTGGCCAGAAACAATCCTACACTCAGACTTAACAAAAATTTAAATGAGGGAAGAATTCAATCTAAGCACACACACAGATCATCAAAAGGCAAAAATGAAAACAGCGCAGTAGTCCTGAAGAACTTTACAACAAACTCTCTTAATAGTGGAGCAGCCAAATCTTTAAACAAAACCAAATCCAAGGAGGCTGAAGCTGTGTTAGCAGGGAAAACTTTGCCCACTGAAGATGAGGAGAGCTGCAGATTCAGTACCACCAGGAACACTTCCCTGTCAGAACCGTCTGTAGCTTCTAGGAGTTCCAGTTCTTCCTGCACCTCTACCTCCACCCCCACCTCCACCACCACATCACCACCACCCACTAGAGATGTCAGTAAGAGGATGAGGACAAGCAGGAGGAAGATTAGGCGGACACATGGAGGGAAGGAGCGTGAGCAGATGGAGGAAGGGAGTCAGGTTGATCAACCAATCACGACTCCTGTGATGGAGAACGAGACTAGTTTGTAAACTCTTTCTAAACACTTTAAGCACTTTACCTTTCTCTAAACGATGCATGTAGCTGTTGTGGGTGATCTGTAACGTGACGTAAGTGTAGCTGTCTTCTTCCTGTCCTTCCTGTTATCCGTGTCCTGTGCTGTCTGATGTAGCTGTAGAGCAGAGGTGACCAACAGTAGTCCACTAGACCAAGAGTCCTGTATGTCTTAGATCGTTCTCTAGCCCAGCCTATCCGAATGAAATAACGGTTCATTGCCAGGCCCCAGCAGAACTTGACCATACACTTGAGGACATGATTGAATAATTTAAATCCCTAGTGTTGGAGCTAAAACATGCAGGACACTGGCTCTTAAGAATTGGCATTAGATACTCTTGATGTAGAGTTAAAGGTATCAACTTCCTTAGATTTGGTTTTACAAAATGTGGACGGTGTAACAAGTGAATCGATCTACCATTTTAGTACCAGTGGTTTGCAAATATATTCAAGAGGCAGACTTAGGAGGACGAATTCCATATTAAATTGAGGGTAACTGCACACTTGCCAGTTTCATTGCACCTCTAGTGATTTCAGTCTTGCGTTTCACCAGAAGACACAGCTCTCTTTCACTCCTAATATGTTCCAATCAGTTTGCCTGGTTCTTAGACAGTATTTTGTGGTTTCCTTTTTGAAATTACTTTGAAAACAGTACATCGGCTCACCTTGGAAGCTACATAAATGCAAACTGCTACTTGTATGACCAAATTGAAGCCTTGAGCTGTTTTTATCAGTGAGAGGGAATGTTGCCTGATGCTTAACTGTTTGTTGTGTGTTGTGGCAGAAAACTCTGTAGTGCTAAAACTTTCAATACTAATATTGAAGAGCAAACATTTATGTCTAAAAGCAAACATTTATGTCTATATATATATATATATATATATATATATATAGATATATATAGATATAGATATATATATAATTATTCATTTTCTGGCCTCAAACATCCTCAAGCTTTTAATTGGACTGAAGTTCTGCGTCACTTTTACTTACATTTGGTAAGTAAAAGCATATGGATTTACATCTGGATCCTGAACAGCGAGGCAGAGATCCCCTACACAGTAACTGTTTGTTTCATTGCTATCAGAAATGGTGAAGTGACAGGTAAATGATGTGCGGTTTTTAACATTTCTAAAAAATAAAAATCTAAAAATCGTGAAGTGCACTTTTACTCAAATTAAATGTTGGATTTTTTTATTTTTTTTTAATTCTCAAAAAATAGCCTTACTCTCATAAAAAATGTAAACTTTAAATCAAACGAGGATCTAAAACGAAAAGTTTGAGGAAAGTTTGGCCAGAAAAGTTGAAACTTGAGACAGTGAACATATTTGATACTCTCACGAAACAATATGAGAACAAGTCGTGTTCATTTTAACAGATATCAGCTTCCCAAATTATTTTAGATGCGTTAGGGGTCTGGAAAAAGTAAACTCTCGGTTCACTTTCCTACTGAAAATGAACTGAAAATTTGCTTTCCCATTTACAGAAAGAAACATTTTCCTCCTGTAAATGGTATTGATCTCTTTGAGAGCCATTTTTGTTTTCTTTTTTTTTTTTGGTGAACCATGTGTAACTCATTTGGAGACTTTCATCATTATGTCATACTGATCGTTTTTCTATTCTGGCTTTAATCCCTCAGGCCCCCAGAGTCCCTGTGAGCGAACAGACGTCCGCATGGCGATCGTAGCTGACCATCTCGGCCTCAGCTGGACTGGTGAGTCTGAATTTATCTCGGTTTCTACCTTTGCATCCAGGAATTTGGAGTGCAAGACCGATGAATCAGCAGAACTGCAATCAGGCTTCATTACTGGAGTTTTAAAAGTGTTGCAGTTTTGCCATCTAGTGGACAGTTAGTGTAACGTCTTGATGACTCCTCACTGCAGTGGAATTTACACTGATTAGTCACAACATTATGACAGCTGAGAAGGTTCTTCATTGCCACCAGATAGCTTCAGTCAGGTTTAGTAGCATACTGGAGCTTTGTTGATATGAGGTCAAATCGGTTTACTGGATTTGGAAGACATCATTTAAATACATCATACATATACCATTCAAATTTTTATGATGTATCCTTCATAGGTGTGGGGTGATGCAGTAAGGTAGACCTAACCCTCATCATTGTGGGGTTGCGTGCAAATGGTTTCCAGAAATGTTTTAGAGGATTCAAGACAAGTTGTGAAGCCTGTGTGACAATCCAGTCATTTTCCCAGGCAGTTCTGATGGTTGAACTAAAGAAATGTGGCAGATGTAGCCCAGGTGCTAGTTCTCGAAAAAGTGGCTCTTTTAAGCTAAGGTCCACACCTTACTAAATACTAATATATCAAAATCAAAATGTATCTTTATAAATTAACATAAAATGCCATTACAGTCAGAAAAAAAATATATATATATATATATATATTTTTTTTTTTTAATTAGGCATGCATGTGGAGCATTGGCATTAACATAGCAGATATATTACATAGCAGATATATTAATATTAATCTAACTTATAAATCGTGCTACTTTCACTCTGAGTGTATTTACGAGACAGATACGGCATACGTTTGCGCATTTTCCTCAAGAGCAGAAACAAGGGTGTGGCCTCTGCAGTTCAGTTTGAGTCCAAGCCTGGCATCCTGCACTGCAGTACTGCTCCACGCCTGCCTGCCCGTGTGCAGATGGGTGGGACTCTATCACTGTGTGCACAGCTCAGTTGTAGAGGTGTTTCTGTCTGTCCAGTGTAGAAAATCTATACTTAATGCATCCTGCTGTCACAGAGCCGCAGAGAACACAATGTTTCAGATTTACAGCGTGCACCGCCTCCTTGTGCCTTGCTAGGTTAGAGTTGAGTTGTTTTTTCGAACACTTTCACGGCTCCCAGTCATTTATTTTTAATCTGACCGTTTAATTAGATTAAAATAGAGACTGTGATTTAGGTCTAAACATAGAATCATTAATTAGTTGGTGATATATGTACACATGCAGTTTAGAATTCAAATGACATCTCTTTTCGTTCTAATTAGCATCAGTAATTTAATCGACATTTGCATTGCACAGCTATTTGCCCTCCTGCAACTTCTTTTATCCTGATAAACATAAATATTGTACATTATGTAATCGATTTGGTGTTGAAATTAATGTTTTGTTTATAACCTTGAATAATCTTTCTTGGCATCTTCTGCTTTTACAGAGCTGGCCAGGGAGTTGAATTTTTCTGTGGAAGAAATCAATTTCATCAGAGTGGAAAACCCAAATTCCCTGACAGCGCAGAGCTTTATGCTTCTAAAGAAATGGGTGCACAGGGATGGTAAAAATGCCACAAGTAAGCAAAAACTGTGGTGTGGTTCGTTTTGATTTAGATTTGCTGGTTTACAAGTTTTGTCTGCCTAGTTTTCCTGCGGTCTGCAGTCTTTTGTACTAAAATTTTGATGCAACTATTAGACAGATGGCAGCCAGATAGGTTAACTTGTTTGTGCCGTCCCCCCCCCCCCCTTCTACTGTGTTTGTCATTTGAATGGTTAATCAACAATTTTTGAAGAACTGGTTATTTATTTTTCATGTATTTATTACTAATATATTGAACCTGGCAGGTAGACCCCATCCTTTCTCCCCCTCTCCATTTCTTCTGTAGCTAACTAAGAGTTTCCAGTAGCCATAACAGCTTTGCTCTGAACTGAGTCCTGAACAGTTTCCTCAGTCACAAGAGTTATCTTTATGTGGTTGGATCAGTCAAATCTATTTTCATTCCAGGTGTGAGTGAGATGAAAACCAATAATTCAAACGAAGACCACAATTTGTGGATCGAAACATGACAAGCATAACCCATCTTTCCCCCTCTCTGTCTCTTTCTCCCCTCCAGCGGATGCTTTAACTGCGGTGCTGACTAAGATCAATCGGTTGGATATTGTGACTTTGCTGGAAGGGCCCATATTTGACTACGGTAACATAACAGGCACACGCTGCTTTGCCGATGATAACGCAGTATTCCCGGATCAGTCCGATGGTAAAGTGTAGCCCACCCTAGCTGAACTATCCTCTCAGTCTATCCCTTCATTCTTCACTTCCTCTCTCAGCCAGATAGTTAGACCTAACTGTGCACACAAATACTGAAGCAATCCTGCTGGATCAAACCACAAGGGGCCAGCCTAAAACGACATAGGGCTCCAGTCGGTTATTTGAGATAGTTTTCTGTAGCTCTAAGACATCTAAGGTGTCTTATGTTATCAAGTAGGCTAGTTAGCTTTAAAAAAAAAAAAAAACATAAAAAAAAAAACAGACAATATGGACAATTTTGAATGTCGAAAAATCTGTACCAGTGAAGACGGTGCATGATTTTTTTTTATTTTTTTTTGTGTGTGTGTGTGTGTTTTTTTTCTTATGGGAAATGCACAAAAGCATGATGAAGGAAGTGATCGCTGTCTCTGCCCCATCTGATGAATGTAATGTTTTTTATTTTTAAAAAAAGGCATACATGCACATATGAGGCGTATTTTTCAGATGAGGCAGGACGCTAGTTACGTATATGTGAATATTCGGAACTTTGATACAACATACCTTTAAAGCCCATCGAAAACAAGTTCTTCAGAGCAGCATGTTTGCGTTCATGCAGTATGGCGAGTCTTTTTTTTTTTTACTCTCTCTATCTCTGTGTTTCTGTCTTTCCTACTAAATAATGAAATGTGGCAGTAATCTCTGGTGTTGTGGAATCCACTGACGATAATTGCAAAACGTTGATAAAAAAAAATTGCCCCTTTGTTCCTTGTTTTTTTTTTTTTTGGACTTTCCTTCACTGAATTGTATGCTTGATATCACATTTCCTTGCCTTTATTATTATGTTGCTTTTATTTTGCTCAGTGCTTTTATTCCGTCAATGATTTAAAGACAGCTATTTTTAAGCAAAAACTATGCAATGAACCTCATATCCTGTTTCTGCTTTATCAAGGTTCCTGAAGTCATCTTAACAGAAAAGATCTGTGTTTCTCTTGAGACGGTGTGATCTTTGTACAAAGATGATTTCAAGCGTTGAGGCAATTTCCAACTGATTAAGGACAATTAACTGCATGCACGTGTGTAACTCTGCTTGCAATGCGGCCTGCCCACATTTTTAAAGTTAAAAATTCACTTTTAAAAATTATTTTTAATCGGCGAAAGCTTTTCAACGCATCTAGGAGTGTCGATCTCGCTCAGTCTAAGATGGCACTCACAGATGAGTTGAAACTGCCGGGGTATTTTACTTTTTATTTATTTATTTTTTTTTAAGTGTATAACGCTGCTTCTTTCACTGCTGCTAGCTGTACTGTACCTGCCATCTCCTGGTGTCCTCCAAGCCTCCCGTCCTCTACGCTCCGCTGTAGCTTCCTCTGCTTTGAGACCAGCAGACTCCCCTGCTGCCCCTCCTCCTCTTCCTACTCCTCTTCTTCTTGCTTCAGAGCGACTAACGTCTACAGAAACATCTCCCGGCAACACTAACCAGCTACTTCCCATGAATGAGTAACTTCTGATAAAACATAGCAGCTTCTGGATCGAACATCTGCTCCTGCTCCTATGCTCTGCGATTTTTTTAGAATAAAATCTGAATTTTAGCCATCTGTGAAACCACAACGTAATGCTGGATCGGTGCTTTGGCCAAGATAGCGACTTGCTAAGCGGAGAAGAAGAGTTGTGCCGCTGCTCGTCCTTAATTTTACCCATGCCATTAGCGATATGGCATTGTCGACAGTTAAACCGAGATTTAAATTGAAAAGGTAATTTATTTCAGAAATTCAAGTCAAAAAAGTAAAACATATTATATTGACTAGCTACACAAATTAAATTTCTTCACAGCTCAAGATTTCGATTCTGACAATATGAAATTGGATAATTCCGGGGACGATGGTGGCGACGGCGTATGAGTTGGCCCTGCAAACAGTGGTCCGCCCATCCTCGTTGTTTGTGTCCTCGTGCAAGACGCTTCACCCTCCTCGCGGTTGAGGGAAAGGTGTGATTGAAAAGAGTGGGCAAACAACATTGATACCAGAAGGTTAATTTGGCAATTTATGCAAAGAGTCCCAGCTAAATGCTAAGTGCAAATAATGTCAATACATTGATTTTTTTTTTTTTTTTTTCCCCAGTAGGCCCCAATTTCTCTGTCACTCTGCATACAATGAATATATTTTATGCCTGAGTTTCACTTTTTAAATCAGAACTGAGTAGATTACCTCTTCAATTATGCTTTGCTTTCTTTAGAGACACCTGCGCAGGAACAACTTCACAAAATGCCAGTGCGCTCCAGTTATTTACATATTTAGTATGCATCGCCCCTCCGCTTTTGCGGAAAAACGCCTTTTGCATCTAAAAAGCGGTTTGCATTTCCCTCTTTGTTGCCCACCAGTTTGCTCTGGCAGATCTCGACAGTAAGAAACAAAATTAACGTCACTCCTGAAAGTTCGCCTTGGAGTCGAGGTGATGATGTTAAAGCCGGTCCCTTTGCGAGATGTGTTCAGCGTTGAGCTCCAGCTGCTGCTAAGACTCCTGTTGCCTGTCAGCTTATAAGGAACCCTGTGACTGCAAAAGCCCTCTTCTCTGCAGCTTAAACACCATCAGCTCCTTAATCAGTTACTTCTTCATTTCATTGTCGGTGCTTGACATGTTTATTTTCACATGCCTTTTGTCTTTCTGTCTGATTTCTGTCTTAACAGTTGTCTTGTCTTTCTCGTCTTGTGACCTGGTGCACTTGTCACGATGTAGCTCCGAAAGTTATTAACAGTCCTACTCTCCCCCCGTATCCTCAGACCTGTCAGCCTTTAACCTCCATCTCCTCTCCTCGTTATCCCAGTAAAATCAGCCTTCTGTCTTCTCCCTCCTCTGTCTTCACCTTCCCTTCTCCCCCTGCCACGCCTCCTGTTTACCTCCTGCCTGTTGCTCCTGTTCTCCCTCATTTCTCCACCCTGCTTTACTCCCCTCCGCTCCCTCCCACTCCTCGAAGTCCTTTTAGCTGCTCCGCGTTCTTCTTTCCTCCCAACTTCTCTCCTTCTGGGGTAACTCTACCCTCGGCCTCAGTTTCTTCCTCCCTTCAACCGCACATACTAAGCCCAACTCGGAAAAGTCGGTCTCCGCCTTCCAACTCTCGCTCCTCTCCTACTTTTTCATCTGTCCCTGCTTCTCCTCCTGCTTTACTGTCTGTCTCCTCTCCTCCACCTCCACAGTTGTGTAACATCATGTACCAATCCTCTCCTCCTATCTTCTGCCCTCCTTCCCCTCCGCCATCTCCCCTTCCCCCTGGTATCCCCTCGTACTTCAGACGCGATCGTTCAGTTCCTGAGATTTACATTTAGGGTCCTCTCAGTTATTCTGCTATTTCCTGCCTAAATTACTTTGTTGTTATGAGAATATGGAGTTTAGAAGTTTTAAATCTAACTAACTAAATGAACCTATTATTAAGTGTTTTTACAAAAGGCTAACGTGACTTTGAAGTGCCTCCTTCAGGCCTGAGGATTCAATGCCTTGCAAAAATGCTTCACCCTTTCAGCGTTACAACCACAAACTTTACTTTATTGGGAATTATATGATAAGTAAACACAAAGTTGACCTTAGTTGTAAGGCGGAGAAAAAGAGAAAATATATTTTTTATTTATTTTAACAAATAACAAACTGAAGAGTGGTGTGCATTTGTCTGAGATGCCACGAGCCTCCTGACACTCTCCTGTTCTTCACTCCATTTACACAGAAAGTCAGTTCCACTGAAGTAAACAAGTTTTAAATGACGTGCATCACTTTAGTTTTACAACTTTGTGTTTATCTGTCAAGCAAACTCTCAATGCAGCACACTGAAGGTCGTGGTTGTAACCAAATGTGCACAAGCTGAAGGGATGCGATTGTGTTTGCAAGGCACAGTGTGATTATAAGTTAAATACAGTTTGCCAAGTTCTGCTTTCACATTTTCTGATGTTTCTTTATATCTCTGTCTCCATTATGATTTGACAGTGCTGTGTTTGGTGTGAGGCTGGTTCAGAAGTCCCAAATACAGATTACACTCAAGCCGTTATTGAAAGAGAACATGTAAACTCAACAACGGCCGCACATTTTATCATTTTAAATGGCAGATTCAGTAAACTCATCGGGGCATTTCAATTAGGAAACTGGCTCTTTACTTTCTAAACTTTCCATAGTATGCACTACCTAGCACTTTTTTTCCCCCCCAAAAAAACACGTGTTTTGAAACGTGGCATAGTCTTCATCCCCCCTTACCAAAGAAAGAACAACAAATGTTTCTCTCGTTTTTTTGTGTTTTTTTGAGCCAGCTTTTGCCTTAACATTAGCCATCTTATATTGTGTCTCTTGCAAATGAGATATTGAATCTCAATGAGACAACCTGTGTAAATAAAAGTCAAATAAAGTAACATGGTCTAATATTTTCTCAACATATCCAAATGAATTTCTGAACATAATTGTCACAAAAATGGCCAGTGAGTTTAATATAGAAACCTATATTGGTTTCTATACACCAATATAGAAACCACGTCGAATGAATCCTTAAGAGTTTACAGTTTCTCCCGCTGCCTGCTTTTGTGTAATTTGTTTTAAGTGGCTTTTGAACAGAAGCTCCTCCTATATGTTACATAAGTGTTTCTCATTTCATCACCTCCACAACTTCACCTCTCCCTCCCACCTCCCCTCCCTCTGTCCTCCCCTCCCCCTCCCCCTCCCTCATCTATCCTCTAATCCTTTACTCCTGCCATCCATCCAGGAGACCACAGTATAGATGTGGAACTGAAAACCCCAACAGAACTCAACTACGTCCCCTGTACCCCCCTGCGCTCCGATGAATTCTTTAGTGAGGGCGAAGCTAGCGTAATGTCCCCAAGTAGGACCACACTCACCAGACCTAGTGACCTCTCCCTAGCTCAGACCACAAGCACCTCCAGCAGCGACCCGTCCACCGTGGTTCCGGCCGCTGGCTCTGAGCCTCCTATTGCGGGGCCTGAAGACACAGTTCTGACCGGAGGAGACAGAGGGACGACTGTGGAGATGCCAGAAAATGACCGGAGGGCGGGGAACCTTAAAGAAGATGGTTCTCAAAATGGAAGAGAGGAAGAAGAGGAAATGACCCAGGAGAGACTGCGGAGTCTGCTGGAGGACATACAGCTGGAGGGAGGCGTGGAGGAAGAGGAGATGACCGAAGAGAGAGTGAATGCGATCCTTGAGCAAGTTCGGCAAGCAGAAAAAAACATTTCTTCAGTTCCAGGCTGGAGGACTGAGGCGTCCGGAGCCACAGCTGGACACAGCAGCAGCAAGGACACGGAGAGCAGGTAAGATTCGATCCGTTCTACTGCTCGGCTCAAACCCGCAAATCTGCTGTTGGGTCTGAAGGCTTTCACCCGATTCAGCCCCGACAGTCCAGCCGATTCCCTGGAGCAGCCCCCGGCTCAGAACGGAGGTCACACAGAGTCGGCCAGGGAAGGGAGGGAAAAAGAAGCCAAGAAGAAAGGGGCCGAAGAGGACAGCAGGACATCGGGACCCAGCAGAGGACGGGAGGACGTAGGTGACAAGTCCCAGCACAAAGTGCAGGTGAGAAGCTTTCACCCGTCTCATGAAACTGAGATCTCATGCGTTCGACAAAGTCTTCAATACATGTTTTGGGGTTTTTTCAAAGCCACCAGAATTAGTAATGATTCCTTGATATCTGAGATGCAGATTTCAATTTTGTGTGACAAAGATATATACTTATTTTTTTAGGACTATAACACATAAAATAGATTAAATGTGCCCACGGGGTTCTAGGAGTGAGGCAGTACATATCAATTCAAAAACAGGGAGGAATTATAAGATCATCCCCAGTTCAGTCAGCAACTCATTTAAACATTTTAGTCAATATTTTTTTAGGCAGGATGTTGAAAGTTTGACTTCAAGGTTCCAAACACCTTGGAACCTTGAAGTCCAAGGTACGATGGCCGTGGTGCTCAGCATGTCGTAGCGGGGAGGATCACAATCGTGCCTCCCTCAACGTGTTTTCCACGTCAGGAAGTGAAAAGCGGATCCCTTCAGAAATCAAATTGTCTGACCTGCCAATGACCAATCAGAGATGACTTATTAGTGCAAATGTAGTCAAGTGTTGAGGTAAAACATACTTTGGACACATCGGGGTTGTTAACAATGCCCCGCCGCTGGGCTGCCTTTGTCAGGAAACCATCAGAGCTGATGAGTCCGGCTCTGACGACGACACCACTGTCACTACCAGGGTGTACCGCAGACGGGTCATACTCAAGGTGTGTGAGGCCTGGTGTGCGTGTGTGTGTGTGTGTGATCAGAGTGCTGAGCTCAGCCCAAAAACAAAAGTGTGTAAAGCTCAAGAGAGCCGGTGCAATCTACTGCCATGCTTCCCTTAGCATGAAAGAAGCTGTGTGTTGTAACTTCAGGGTTTGTGTGCTCCTGTTAGTCTAGACACATCGAACGCTGTAAACGGTTTTCACGAAAACCATCGGCGGAAATACAGAACTGGATAGAAATGTGTAGTGAACTACGTTTTCTTGTCTGGCCCCTGAAATTTCAATGAAAAATATCTCCGTATTTATTTTCACATAAAGCTGAGTTAGTGTTGGTGCATTGACCACTTGTTGGCTTCAGCATCATATTTGGTTGGTTGGTTGATTTGCTTTGCTTTGCTTTGTTTGGTTGTGCAAAACCAAGTCGACGGATATGGTTGTGATTGCTGGGATATATTTCCACTAGAGATTAATGAGGTGCTGGTCTTTTCACACCTTCCCATTTTTGTAATTTTTATATAGTTTTTAGGTATGAAATGAGGCCATCTACAGAGAGACATCCTGTACCTGCACACTGGTGGTTTTTTTAAGTCATTTCTACAATCTATTACAGGTTTTCAGTGAGAAAATGTGGCTAAATGACAAAAGATCGGACAATAGTTTTCAGTCTGTTAACAGTGGAGTTATTGGATTACTTGTTGCAGAATTGCATCTAATTATCTCAATGCATTGAGTTTATGCATGTCCCTTTTTGTTTTTTGCATGACAGCAGGTTTAAATGAATCTGTTTGCAGCTTAAAGGTTTTTTTTCTTCTTCTTCTTCTTTTTGATCCAAACCCTTCGAATCTGTTTGAATATAACAATGGAGGATTCCTGCTTGTTGCTTCTGAAAGTGGCACTTTAACTCTTAAAAAAAAAGCCTGCAGCTTTGCTCTTCCTTTCCCATCCCACCCATTTGTCTTTTGTTTTTTTTCCACTCATCCTTTCTTCCTCCAACTTCCATCACAGGGAGAGGAGGCCAGAAACATTCCTGGACAGTCCGTTACTGAGGAGCAGTTTATAGATGATGATGGGAATCTGGTCACCAGAAAAGTAACCATCTTCCTGCCTTGCTGCGGCTTACCTGCAAACATCTTCCATTCTGTTATTTTTCCCACCCTCCTCTTCCTGACCTGCTTCTGCCCCCCTACAGGTTATCAGAAAGGTGGTTCGTCGGGGTTTCAACTCACAGGAAAGGCTGGAATGTGAAGGCCAGGCTATTCCAGGGGAAGGAACTTCGGGTGTTGATGAAGGCGAGGCAGATGATGCTGCTGCTGCTTCATCAGCAGAGGCTGCAGCATCTGCAGTAGGAAACAAGGGTGGGAGGGGCAAAAAAAGAGGGAAGCGCTCCCGACACGGCCACAAGGAGGAGGCCCAGAGAGAGAAAACACAGGTTGGCGTTAAAACCAACCGCTGCACCTGGACCGACTTGCACTTGCATGGCACTGAAATGAGATAAAACCTTGAAACAAACAACGACAACAAAATAACACCTGCATTTGCAGGTGTAGTTTGTGTTTGGTGTGTAGAAGTGTGGTTCTAGTGGTTTTTGGTTTTCTAATCCACAAGACGACTGCAGAAATGTCCAGTCCTGAACATTAATGGTTAGAAAATATTAATAAGACCAAATTAAACAAGTACTTAATGGTGACAAGCCAACTTCATAATCGCTCAATGTTTGATGAAGCCAATCAACAAGTTTAGCGATGTTTGTCACAAATACCCACTTTTTCCTCTGACTTCAGTGAATATACACTTGAGAGTAGAGCTTCCATGGCATTAGTGAATTTGATTGGAATATGAATACTTCCAGCACTCTGAAATCCCTGTATCGAGATTCGGGTGCGGGCATCTACTGCAGTAAAACTAAGTTCAACTGGCTGAACAGCCTATTGCTATGAAAAGTGTATTAATTTAAAGATTTGAAAGAACAACAGCAATTGCTTTTTAAACTGACTTTCAGAACATCAGTGAGTGCAGTTGTAAGTTTGCTTTAATGATACATTTCGAAACCATATACCTTTAAAAACCCCATCAGTCTTACGGCATGAGTGAACCACGTAAGGTGACACTTTGCGCCTGAACGTCGTCTCGGTGTATTAAATAAGTCACGAGTGAAACTCTGCAGTGTGCTAAAGTTGAGCCGTTTCCATTCTTGATTTTTGTGACATGTTTTGAAGTAAATTGTGATCGCTGATGCTTAGCAGCAATGTGACCTGTTAGTGTCGATGCCTGTGTGAAAAACAGAGTTGATCGCAGTTTGCAGTGGTTTTGAATTGTTTTCAGGTTCTAAATAACAAATATTGGGTGTTTCATTAAATACAAAATGTTTTATATATATATATATATATAATTTTTTTTTTTTTAACCATATGCAATTTGCTTGTACATTGATAGAAACTTTTCTTTCTCTCCCTGAGCTAATTTTTCTTCCAGCATGCCGCCTGCTGTAGTGACCAGACTTGTGTGCGCTTTTAATAACGCCTGGAGAACAGTCTTTGCCTGAACAAATTAATAACTTATAATTTTTTCTGTTTTTTTTTTTCTTTTGCTGCTTTTTCTGCCCAGCCTGGAGATGGTTCCAGCAAGAAGCACGAAAAAAACAGTCAGTCGTAACGGCCAAGCTCTAAAAATAACCAGGTAAGACTATCCTTTCCGGGTCCTGAACTTTGTGCTTTTGTTCTTTTAATAAGTGAGTGTTAAACTGAAACAGTGCACCTGAGCACAATCTTGTTAAATCTGAACTTGGGAAAAAACATTTTAAAGTTTTTTTGTGCGAAAATCCTTGAATAATTGTGCTTACAGCAAAATCCGGTTCTTTGCAAAAGTATTTATACAACATAAACCTTTACACACTGTGTCAGGTTACAGCCACAAACTTTCATGGGCCTCGTTGAGATTTTTTTGGTCGTTCATAAATATGAAGTAATCGAAAAATTCTACATCATTTTTAAAATTAGCATTTAGGGCCCTGAGCCTGTACTTTGTGAAACCATTTTTTTTTTTTTTTTTTTTTAACCTGTGTCTAAATTTTTCCTAAATAGATCATGTCCAGTTAGATTGACTGGAGAGTACATGTCAATGTTCAAGTCTTTCTACAAATTCCTAATTGGACTTAGGTCCAGACTTTGCACTTTTCTAACACTTTAATATACTTTAATCTTAATCGTTCCTTCGTAGTTCCGGCTTTATGCTGGACTGATGCGACTTCTGAAGGAAATTTGGTTGCACATGAGTAAAAAGGACAACGGCAAATGTGAAAAAAAAAAAAAAAAAACTCAAATTTTGCCCCTATATTTTCCTTCACCTTCAAAATTCAAAGTTTACGCTTGTAAAATCATCAAATGTATTTAAAAAGCTCAAAGGTTATGAATATTTTTTGGAAAACACTTGTTTCACCTGAGAAAATAAAACTAACATTTCTGAATAACCTTTTTTACATTTTTGCTTCAAAGTGTAAATCGTTGCCTTCTACCCTCCAGGTTTTTAAGTCATTCACGGCGATGCCACTCTTGGAAAAAAACAGCTGAACCGGAGTCCACAGTGAAGAAGATCTGGACGGGACGTGTCAAGTCAGCCAAAGTGTTTTAGAAGCATTCACCTACAGCGCATGGTTTACAGCAAGACGACGTTACTTTCCCTTGATTTCGCATGAGCATGTCACCGAACTCACTCGCTGTCAGAAAACAGAAAAAAGAAAGAAAAACAAAACAAACCGGAGGGGACACGCATGGACGTGAGCGGAAAACTTCAGCTCATCAGCAGCGAATGAACTGCATCTGCAGCCAAATAAAAATAAAAAAAAGACCTGCTGACAGAACAGACTCCACTCTGACACTCGCCTTTTTGTTTTCTTTTTTTTTTTTTTCTCCCCTCCTGAATCTGAAACAGCAGCACTGGAGTGTACAAGTGGTTCGTTTTTTTTTTTTTTTTTTTTTTTTTTTTAAATAAAATCTAACAGCAAAGGGGGGCGATTTTGTTGTATATAACTGGCACTGTATAAAACCAACAACAAAAAAAGTAAATAAATAGTAGCTTCACAGATTGTTTATGCACTGATTTGAGCTGATGAGGCTTTGCAGAGTCTGTGCACTTGACTGTGTGACTTGATTTGCTCTTCCTGAAAAATGAAAAAAAAAGGAGCAAAAAAAAAGCTGTATGAGAACGATGAACGAATGCAGGAAAAAAAATAATAAACAGCTTAATTTTACACATTGGATGTCCAAAAACAGCTACTCTGCTGTGGAACGTTCTCCAGAGAAATTATATTTTGCTGCATGTTGTGTCACTTTATTTTTAATGTTTTTTTTTTTTTTTTCCTTTCTTCTACTTTTAAAGCACTGTAATACAATTAGTGAGGTTTTGACAGAACTTCTTTATCTGTTTAGGCTCATAATAACACAAAGGTTTACCATCCGTGGCAGTCTTTGATTTAGTAATCACACTCCATATTTAAGTTGTCGGACAGTAAATCTTCGCTCTTTTGATCTAACAAAAAGGACGAGCGGTTTTGTCAGATGTAACCTGCAGGCTGGAATATTAGCTCTAATCTGCTGCCAGCCCTGAGTGCGTGTGTACGCGCGTGTGTGTGTGTGTGTGCGTGTGTATCATAAATCTTTACTCCCAACATGCATACTATGGCTTTTCTGTCTACTGGTGTTTTTAAAAAGGGGGACTGTTTTTATGTTAGGTTTTTACAACTTTCATCTTATTTAACTGTTATTTACATGATCTGATTTTTTAGCGTCAATCACCAAAACCGTAACTGGTACCAACAGCTGGAATCACACAAATCACACCCGTGACTTCACATTGGTGAAAATGTTAAGTCTCTTTTACTGTAAATCTACTTTTCCTGTGTTTCTGTTTCTTTTTCATACGAATCTACCCCACGCATTCACTGAAAATAAATCTGGTACCCACATGTATGACGAACAAACATAGCCAATCCTGGATGATTAATTATTTAAGCAAAAATAAAAAATAAACTGTGTTTTAACCTAAAAACACCGTGTGTCACTGTGTTTCTTCTGCATCGAACGTAATATAAAACATATATATTGCCTTTTTTTAAGTTGCATTATTCTTAGATGGAATGATGTCACAACCTCATTAAACATACTTTTTAAGACGGGAAACCAGCGAGATTTGACAAAACAGTGTGGTTAAAGAACAGGCTGTACTATTGCAGTGGAAGCCAATAGCAACAGACTGGAATAGATCACAGATTCATATCAGAGACTGTGGGAGAGAGCCTGTGTATGCAAACTAAACTCTCCACAACAAAAGGTTCTGGTCCAGCAGGGATGTGTGGACTCAAGACTCTTTTTTTTTTATTTTTTTTTTTTTTTATAGTTGATACATTTTCTGACGAGCTTTTTTGGGTCACGTCTAATGCAGATCCAAAATAGCTCGGCATAAAAACGACAAAGTCCAAACCCATGTCTAGGCTGCCTCCAGCCTGCTCAGCAAAAACAAACTTTGTTTTTCTCACTGGCGTTTACCAAGAACTGCACGGTCATTTCACCACACCGCTCAGTTTACATGTGGACAAAAACGTCGCAGAATATTAAACAGAATGATGTTTGCGCTTTTAGCAGGGAAAGCCAGTTGGAGCAGGTATGATTGTATAAATCCAGAAACTGGTCTGCATGCCCAAAGTCTTTATTAAGGTGGATCTTGTCCAATAGCAACAAAATCTGGACAAAATTGAGGCATTACCTTGACTTTTAGTGTATATGCATCGTTTTCCTTGTGGAGGCGGTGGATGACGCTAAATGATTTCCTCATTAATTGGTTGAAGGTATCTAGGACAACCTAAGAAGATTTATTCCTGTTCTGCACATCTAGAAACTGAAACTGTTGCCAATTTTCTTTTTAAACTGGTAGAAGCAGCTGTGCATTTTGATTGTAGGGTTTTCCAAACATCGCCTTTCGATTCATTTACAGGCTGTTCGAACTCATGAATATGCTCTAAAGTAAACCATTCCATTGTAGCTCTGATTGTATGTTTAGGGTTGGTCTCATACTATTAGGTGAGCTTCCACCCAAGTCTTTTGCAGTATCTAACTGGTTTTCTCCTGGTATTGTTCTGTGTTTCGCTCCATCCATCGTTGCTTCAACTCTGACCAGTTTCCCTGGTCCTACTGAAGAAAAGGATCTAAACAGCCCTGATGCTGCCACCTTTTCTAAGGTGAACAGCCATTGTTCAAGGTGTACAAATTTATGCAGCACTTTTTGGGTTTTGTTTGTAATAAAACTTTGAAAACCATCTATCGTTTTTCTTCCACTGTACTGTTTTGCACATCGTTTTGCACAGGTTTTTGTTTAATCCCTTTAAAAACCTAATAAAACACTCCGGCGTTTGACAAACAAAAACCACAATCCCTAAATGTCTGTTTTTCATCTGGGTCTCTTAACTAAGAGCCTTTTTGATCATCTTAGGGTAAATTATACCTGAAATACAAACATCCTAATGCAAGTAAGATCTTGAAGATTTTAAGCTCTTCACAATTTTGTTTTCATAGTGAAAACTGCATTTTAGGTCAAAAACTGTGTCATAAGTCGTTTGACACAGAAGGCTGTCCCAATTTGAAGTTCACAAACACAACTATTGAATTTTCAGCTTGCACCACAGCCTGCATGTGTACAAACCGGTGTTGAGACAGAAGCGGGACGTGTGGTTCCACGTCATCACTGCTACTCGGGCTGAAGACTCTGGTGCTTAGTTATCGATTTACTCTCCTAGAAACGTTTTTCTGTCTTTATAGGTTTTTCAGAAGGTAAACTAGAACGCAGTGTTTTCTGGCGGTGGGCTGTTCAGCTGTGTCAGCATTTGTACGTCCTCCACCGTGATATGATTTTGTTCCCTGAAACACATTAGTCTGCAAAAACAGAAAACAACTGGAGTTATTCATTGTACTTTGGTTTCATATATATATATATATATATATATATATATATATATATATATATATATATATATATATATATATATATATATATATGCATCGTTTTTCTTGTGGAAAACGATGCATTTTCCATATATATATATATATATATATATATAACCTTGCTAAAGTACTCACTGTTATTTATATATATATAAAAAACACAAATATATATTTTAGTGGAATTTTATGCAACATGCCAACACAAGAAATGTTTCACTATAAAGTGGAAGAACAAATATTAATATATACAAATTTGTATTCAGGACCCATTGCTATAACACCCATCCAACCAATTCCCTTTACAAGTCACATTATTAGCAAAGGATATCCACTTCTGTGCAATTCAAATCCAGTCTAAATATAGTTACACAGTTGCTGTTCAACTTGCCAGACTTCAATTGTGATGCATTTTTTTATTTATTTATTTGTCCATACTGTACACTGACTGTTGTCTGAATTTGTTTTTTTTTTTTCATTAGATTTTCACACATTTTCCAAAAATGTTGAGCTTCTTCTTTTTCAACCTGTTCATCTGGATCCGAAATGCCTTGACTTTTCACACTCCTGTTCATGTACTCCAGCTGGAACAGGGAGTTTCCCCTTAGTTAATAAAAAAAGCAAAAGTAAACTTATCATATGCTTTACAACTAATTGTAAAACCCAAGAGATTGATTTGTTTGTGGATAGGATGTAATTAACTTTATGAGATTTAAATAGCAGTACCCAGCCAATTACCACAGGGTTGTGTAACTGTCGAAATAAGAATCAAGTCAAAGCTTTTTTTCAAGTCAGAACTTTTTTTATTTTTTTATTTAAAAAATATTCTTAACATTTCAAAAACACATTGAAAAATACAATAGTTTCATAACAGAAATAGCATATCAAAGGTTAGGAGCAAACATTCAAGAAAAGAGTCACTCATCTCCCTTCTGAACTCTGAAACAACCGCAACAATCATGTTTTGTTATCTTTACTACAGTTCTTCATAGGCGCCGCTAAGCATCCTGGATAGTGCTTTCTATTATTGTTTCAGTGTTCAGCGTTTCTATGTCTAAATGACATAAAAATGCGGTTTCTCATCATTCGTCTCAAGCCCTTTCCTGAGTCAAAACAGTCTTTTAAATGCAAAAAAGCACCAAAGGAAAGGCTATTATTATTTTTGTATTATTACTAATGTTCGCAGTCTCTCTGCACTTGCATTGCTTTGGTCTTCACACCTCGGTGTCGTTGGTCACATCCCCTTTTTGCTGTGCTGGCTCAGAGCTCTGTTTACGCAGTACGGGATGATGCTGACGGTCACTAGGGGAACGGTTGCGCTCTTGCAGAAGGAGAGCAGGTAGAAGAGGGCTGCAGTGTGCGTGGGAGGCTTGAAGGAGTCAAACAGGTGCAGCAGGAACAGAGAGCTGAGAATGCATCCCGCTCTGGCTGACGCACTGCTGCTCTTTTTGGTCTCGGTGTACAGCGGAGAATGCAAGCCCAGGCCGAGGCCGAACAGCGTGCCCATGTTGCGCAGAAGGCTGGCGAAGGGCGTGGTGTCCAAGTGGACCCACTCTGGTCTGACACACCACTTCTGGGCTTTCTCCAGGGTCCACAGGAGGTCCACACCCACGGCTTTCAGTAGCACATAGAAGCCCACGGCGAAGCTCGTCAGGAAGAGCGTTGTGTAGAAGTACTTGTTCATGCTGGCGCTGTAGATCCACTGAGTTCTGTTGAAGGCCTCGGCCACAATCATACCTGGAAGCATTAAAGCACATTTAACTATTAGGCTTGACTGCAAGTGACTATCTCTTTAAGATCCTGAAAGGTTGTACGCAAGTTCTCCACTGACCTGTTATGACTCCAGCAACGACCTGGTGGGGGAAGTGAGCAGCAATGAAAACCCTCGACAGGCAGACACACACCTGGACTCCCCAAAAGACGGACCACAGAAGAGCCTTCAGATACCTGCAGAACAACAACAACAAAAATCAGACAACTTAATTCAGGTAGTTGTTTTGCTTTGCCCCAATTATCAGCACCCCAGATTAAAATCGGCCAACTGAACCTGTTAATGCAATATAACAATTAATCCTTTTATCCTTTTCATATCACCAGTAATTTATCTGCCTGAAAGTAAAAACCACCCAGGTATAACACCCAGCAGAAGTCAATGATCAACCACAGTTAGAACAGATAGAGTGTCCTGAATGATAAGCTCCTGATAGAGGAAAGTGGTAAACAACTCAGACGTAATGGGAAGGAAAAGGGAGGCTAAGCTAAAATAGCAAGATTTTTTTATTTATTTATTTATTTATTTATTTTGTCACTTACCAATTTGTGTTTAATGATTTCTTGCTTGTCAGAATGCCGAGGATGGAAGTCACAAGGGTGTAGTAGACTCCTGCAGCTCCCATTGCGTGTCCGGAGGGACTGCCTGGATTTACAAAGACAGAAAGCAAATATTAAAGCTACGAAACACTCCAGCTCACAGAAAGCTGCACATTTTTCAATGCTAATAATTGAGCTGTTAGAAAAAAAAAAACTAAACGTCATTGTGTTGACTCCGTTGTATTTGTTCACATTCTTTTGTTGATTCGTGATAATGCATCGTTACTTTGCCGTATGTTTGTCTCATCTTTCTTCTAAAAACCAGAATAAAAATATACATGCTGCAAAAAAAAAAAAAAGAAGTCAAGAATGAGGGAAAAATAAACTGAGATGTAAACTACGCCGGATCTTAATATTGTTCTCCGTGACGTTTTAGGTGCATTGGTCTTATAGTTGTTTTATTTTTGTTCTTTGTTTTATATGCTTGCACAGCACTTTGGTCAGTGTTGCTATGTTGTATTTTAAATGCTTTAAAAATAAGGTGGTATGGCAGTGGCATGGTAATTAGTAATGCAGCCTATTAATTTTTACTTTGCAAAATAAAGAAAACAAATATTACTATTGATAAATTAAACATATCTGTAACATATATGTAAAACCATTTAAATAATAATAATAATCATAATAATAATCAATTGTACATCAGGAAGTAAATGTGTGTTCAGTAGCATCCCTCACCTGGTCCGGTCTCACAGGTCATTGGATACTGTTCAATGTGCGGGCGATCAGCGTCTGTGTAATAAGCCGTCTCGTGGACCCACCAGTACGGCCTCTCTCCAAACAGAACCCTGTTGAGTGGAGAAGAAACACAAACTGTGTCAGAAGCCATGGGGAAAAAAACAAAAACATTTTAAACATAGTTTTGCTAAGTTCAGATAAGCATTCAGCTCACCATTTAAACACCAAGTTCAGCCAGTCTCCGATAACAGCCACCCAAATGAGCTTGATGCCGACTGAGGGTCGCAGGTGGAACCACAGCGGGAAGAAGATGAAGAAGGTGTTCCTGAGGTCTGCCGCCCAGGACACCCAGAGAAACAGGCCCTGGGCGTCCTTGTAGTTGGTCTGCAGGTACCGGGTGCTGCTCACCCCAAAGCCTTCCATGGCATCCATGATATCAGTGAGCATGTTAGCAGCGTGCGGGAAGCAGAAAAGGTCTCAGCCTGCTGAGTCGTGAGTGAGTTGGTTCAAAAAGAGCAAAGGACTGTTGCTATCAGTGACACAGCTGGTTGGTTTTATACCCGGAGACCCACTGCCCAAACGCATGCTCACTCTGACTTTTGGACCTTACACATGTGTAATAAAGCACCCGGAGTTTGGGAGGTTCGTCACACAAACAACTTGATGAGATAAAGGGAAAACAAAGGGACAATTGGAGTATGTCCCACTGAGTCACAGTATGTCAGTTCAAAGAAAAGGTCAAAAACCTGTGACCTGTAGGAGGACTGATAATGGCACTTTGCTGAACTTCTATCTTTATGTATAATCAAGTCCAACTTTTGCTTTTCATAATTCTTGAGTTATGTAATTGTTCTTATGATGATTTGGGCAAATAGTTTTCAGATGGAGCAACCTGTTTGTGGATTGCATAAGAAGATCAAAGATTAAGCGATTGGCTTTGAGCTGAGCAGAAGAGGAGGGAACACTTGAAGATCAAACTGAACAGATGACATCAGGTTATGCATGAGAGTCCAGATAAATGAGGATATTTAATAAAAAATGACCTATATTGTGGGTTCATAATTAAAATGAAAAACTTTACATGTTTTCTTTCTGAGATAAACATGAACCGGAAATGATCTGCTATCTTCTACTGACTCGGCAAATTAGTGGCTTTAGAGCTTTTGACCTCAGCGCTAATTTTGACACGGTAGACTATAGTGGTCTTATTTCACTGGTAAACATACCTCCTTGGGCGAGTCCCTCAGAGCAGACCAAGAATTTGTTGTAGGGACATTATATCAAATCTGGCATTTGAATGCTTTCAGACCCTCTAGAATCTGACTGGAGGATACATGAACCCCATCCAAACATTGGGTGCATATATTATACTATTACTTGGACATATTTTTTAAAAGGACCACACATCTGACTTTAAAATCCTCTTTTTTTTTTTTTACTGATTTTATGTCTAATTCACAGGCTATTTGTTTCTATCTAAAGTCTAAGACATAGTGTATTCAGGAACTTTATGGTAAACTAAATACCTCTAAGCATTGGGACCTCTTCAATGCTAGACATTTAAAAATATGTACCAATATTAATTCACCTGCTATCAAATCTGTCTGAACAGATGTTTTTTTTTTTTTTTTTTTTTGTATTGAAGTCATTTTATTATTTTAAAATATTCAATGAGTTGTACAGAACTTTGGTGAATTGGCTTTATTTTATAATGAGCTTTACAAATACATTTGACACTCCACTGGTCTCTTTATTGATGGATTTGAACAGAAAGGGCCCCAGGAGGGGTGTAAAGGTTAAGGAACTGCCTGTCTGTACTGTCCCAAAGGTAAACAAATCCGCTAACCTTGAGTAAAGTCCAATGGGGGTTCGCGCAGAGAACGAGCAGACAGGACATTCTGAGAGGGAGCTTTGCAGAAACTGGTCCTTGCACGTAAGACAAAAAGGAGCCCAGACTGCAGCTATCGCCCGAGGTCCGAGGTCTGAGTTACGCTATCATGGATATCCTTCACAGCTGGGGGGTTGAGCTGACCAGTCATCTGCAGATCAGATACAGCAGGTACGAGGGTCTGTTTAGCCTCGCCTCTGCCGTGGCCGATCTGCACACCACGTTCTTCTGCCTGTTTCCCGTGTGGTTCTACATGCGCAGGGACACAGGGGTCAGGCTAATCTGGGTGGCTGTCATTGGAGACTGGCTCAATTTAGTGCTGAAATGGTAAATAAACTTCCTTTTAAAAAAAAAAAAAAACATTAAAAAATAAAATAAAATACAAGAGTCCTGTAAGTGCACATTAATAGCATACTGAGTGATTTAAACGGTTTTTTTAATGCAGGGTTCTTTCCGGAGAGAGGCCCTACTGGTGGGTTCACGAGACCCAGTTTTACGGGGCAGGAAAGGCCCCATCGCTGCAGCAGTTTCCTATCACATGTGAAACTGGACCAGGTAAGATTCAGGACAGACCTGCTGAACACATGATGTCTGCCTTGTTCTCAAGAATCAAGCAGTGATTGATTTCATTAGTCTAGCACAGTGAACTCCAAGTCTGCCTAATATCTATGTTAAATCATTGACGGAAGGCGACTGTATCTTCTGGTTTCCAGTCAATGGGTACAATATGGAAGGTTTATGAATGAGTTCTCAACTCCACTTGTACTGTTTTTTTTTTTTTATCTTTACTAGAGGGTAGTGTAACATCTTGTGTAGTATTGAGATTCATTTGAATGTTATAAGAATGATTATGGCAAAACTGAAGTCCACCTTGTTATGCGAGTCTTCTTGTTGTGTCTTTTTTCCCCCCCATTTCCATCAAAAATTAAAATCAAAATAAACGGCAAAAATACAGAAGACGATTGAGAACAGTGTTGCAGTGAATATTTGCAGAGATATGTCAAAACTTTCCACTTACAATAGTAGGATTGTCACCAAAAAACCATAGACATAACTGGTGCACCTCGTAGTAATTTGTGCATTTAAAAGAAGGCATTTGGAATAAAAGTGAATACTTAGAGTACTAAAATGACAGTTTCTGGTTTCTTTGACATGTATTCATATCTACACAGTAGATGAAATATAGCAACATATATACAACAATGTTCTATTTCATATTCCAGGAAGCCCTTCGGGTCATGCTATGGGTGTAGCTGGTGTCTGGTATGTGATGGTCACCGCTCTGCTTTCAATTGCAAAAGAAAAGCAATGCCCCTCTGTACTATACAGGTGAGTCTCTGAGTAATGCATTGGTGTATTTCTTCAACGCTCTGTCTCTTGAGGATGTTCTGGTGTTCCTGATCCTGTATTATTAACCCGTTAGCTTGCTGCAGATCAGCTTGTGGACCTTAATGGTTGTGGTGGTGCTGATCGTCTGCATGTCCAGGGTTTTCATGGCGGCTCACTTCCCACATCAAGTTATTGAGGGGGTCATCACAGGTACGGTGACAGTCTGAAAAAGTCAAGACATCATCAGTAGTACTAGGATAAAACGGGTGTAAATCTTTTGGTCTTAAAAAAAAAACATTCACTACGTTTTATAGAAACCTTATGCCTCTCATTTATTCTGCAGGCATAGTGGTTGCTGGTATGGTTTCCAAGAAGAAGTGGATTTACAGTGCCAGCATGAGCAAATACCTCCTCATCACACTCTTCTTGACTTTCTTCGCTATTGGCTTCTACCTGCTGCTTAAAATTGTCGGAGTGGACCTGCTTTGGACCCTGGACAAAGCCCAGAAATGGTGCATCAAGCCAGAGTGGATCCATCTGGACACCACACCCTTCGCCAGCCTCCTACGCAACATAGGTAGTCTGTTTGGTCTTGGACTGGGACTGCACTCTCCCTTCTACCATGGCATCAAGAAGAACGCAAATGCTGGTTTCAAGATGGGGTGCATTATGAGCGCCTTGTTCTTGCTTCATCTCTTGGATGGATGGACCTTTTCCTCAGACAACCACTTGACTTTCTATATCCTATCTTTTGGTAAGAGTGCTTTTGCACTTTTAATCCCAACCACTTTAATTCCTTGGGCTCTTTGTAGGATTTGCAAAGGAATGGAGTTGGATAAGAACTTGTGATTTATATCTTATTATGTGTTTCAATTCAACTAGTGGTTTTAGTTGTTCCTTATCCAAAAGAAAATTGGGGAAACTAGTACCAGTCACTAATTGGTGAGTTACTTAAGCTGTGCTGGTGGAAAAAAAAAAAAAAAAAGGAACTAGCTTGTTTTATTCTAGTTGAAAAGACGCCCTTATAGAGGCATGAGCTTTGAAATCCTTTCATGACAAAACAAGAATAGCACTTGAGGTATAAGATTTTCAGCATATTGATTAAAATGTCCCACCCAAAATTTGAGCATCTGTCCCACATCTCTGTGCCTGTCTCCTCGCTCTCCCCTCATTAGGAGGAATTTCACAAAATTACCCTGATAAGCTGAGCTAAAAAGTAAGTTATCAAGCCTAGTTTGTGTCAATGTGTTGTTGAGGTAATACCTTCAGCAATTTATTTAGCAGTCCAAAAATAACCTCAAGATTAGCTTCACAGATTGTGAAGATGTTCTAAAGAGTCTTTCAATGAAAAATTCACACGTTAACATGACAAACATAGCAAATCGTTAGCAGATTATTGTAATAAGTTAGTTAAAACGTCAATAGTCTTTTTACGGTTGATAACATACACTTTTTTGTAAATGTTTACCAAGGAAGATGGTCTAATTGTTTTTTGCTAAACAGAATTAAGGGACACCAATAATTTAAGAGTTAGAGTCAATTTTACTTTCTGACGATGCCTAGAAAAGGGGGTTTTGTCAACCGAGGTCACGTCTCAATACGTCACTTAAAAGAGTCAGCGGTAGTTTATTTGTTATTTTTCATTCAAGTTTGTATTTCAGGCCATTTTACAAGTCACCAGAATTAGCAAAGTTTAACGGTTTAATTTGACAACTCTGTTGTTATCGGGGCAAGGAAAACGGTTTGCTATAAGTATGTTTATTTGTTCATCATATTAAAAAAGTTACAAAAAACAAACCAGTAGCTTTTTATAGTGAGCAATTGTACACATTTATTGGCGAAAAAAGTAGTTTGAAATTTCAGCGGAGGGGAGCTTACAAATACCCTAACAAGCAAAAGTAGGAGCTATAACTTAATTAGCTTAGAATGTGAAAAGGGCAAGAAACATATCAATTTATGTTGCATCTTTACCAACAGAAAGTGACGTGTAGAGAAGCAGTTCCCTGTCACAAGCCATTTGCTAAGCAAATCTTAATGCATGTTTACACATTTTATACAGACTTTCTACAACAACTGAATTACTTTTATATCTCACACAAAAAGTCCAGATTTCAATCTGTGATTTAATGAATTATGTCCTTTTTCTACAATGATAGCAATGACTAAAATGTTTTTGGGGATGACAAACAGATTGCTTTGTGTAACAATTTGAACTCTTTGCTTTGGTTATTAATACTGACATCAAGAGGAAAAATATGTTGATGGGCTGAGAAGAGATGTTGGAGAAATATTATGTTTTATAGATCTTATGGCCTATACTTTTATAATGTGCAGTCTCATTGATTCCAGTTTGTGCATTTCCCAATTTCGTCGCATGTCACTGTCATCAACATGTTAATAAAAGTCTGTTGTTGTTAAACAGATTGTACCTTCGGATTCATTTTTATAGGTCACATTTTTACAACTTTGTACAAATTTAGAAAGAAGATTCTTTTAAGGGAGAATTAACTATTAGTGGTTTATTAGGTTAGTTTGGAAGTCTACTAAAGCCTTGTCGAGTCATTAGCTGCAAAACCCACGTGTTACATTAATAGACTTAACTATTTTTACAAAGCAGAGTTTTTAATTGATTAGTTTTAAAGGCCAGATTACTGAAAACTCCTGAAATGTCTTCGCAGCATATACAAAATAGAAATGATGATGATGACAACAATGAATGACGGAGAGCTTTAAAAATAAATCAGTGCCTCAGAATATCCATTTGCACAAAGAGTTCTCCCCCGTCTAAAAATGGCCATGGTCCGCCGACAGTTTTCTCCAAATGTTTCAGACTAACACAGAGTAATTCCCTGGTCGGAACAACCATTAACCATTAACCAGAGCATGCTCCCTCCACCCTGCAATCGCACATAGTGATTCTGCCTTTCACCACAGCCACGCACTCTCAAGACAGACGGCAGGTCAAGGGGCAGAAAGTGTTGTCTGCCTGGGGAAAGCAAGGCAGACAACACGTGTGCCACTTCATACTTGGCACTCAGTAACCTACATTGTTCAGGTGATACACTCAAGGTTCTAAAATCAGCACGATTGCAAGGGTCACTATCACTGCAGGACACCTTTGTTGTGCAATGTCGCTGCCTGCCTATGTTCTTTAATCTGCTGCTGAGTTGTAGGTCATTAAAGACAAAGTTGCACTGATTAGACATGTAATAATCCTCATTCATAATAGGAAAATATGAATGAGGATAATCACACATTGCAATGATAACTCTGAACTTATTGCCACTGAGTCTTAATTTAAGATAAAGCAGCTTGAACGCACAGTTTAAACTTGCAACTGCCATTTAAAAATGGTTTAAAAAGACGCCCATAGCAAAAAATACATTTTTTTCAATAATATTTACACAAATCCCATTGATTTATTATATTAGGGTTTGTTTGTTTTTTATGGTTCTTTCATGGTATTTTTGAAGAAACAGGTCAAATAATCTATATCTTATATGGTACTAAAAATCACAACACGGGGAAAAAAAAATAATCGTAACGTAAAAGGATTGTTTAAACCATCCACAACTTAAATGTATTTAAAATATGAGAAACTGATACAAGCTTGAATTTAATGTGAATTTTCTCTAACCCCAGCCAGACTCAAAACTTTAGAAGTTAGGTATGTGCAAAATGCTTACATATTTCTAGGTGATTATTTGAACTATGGCATTATGATCATCATTAGTCCATGTAAACTTGTCAATGTAAATGTAAAAAACAGTTTTTAAATGTTTTTGCATGTAGGTGTTGTGAGCACAGTGAATAATAGGATTAGAAACCAAGAAAAAACATAAAATCCCAGATTTTCTGTAGGAATATCATATCTACTTTTTTATTTTTATTTTTTATCTCTTCCAGTTATTTCCGGCGCTTGTCTTGAAACTTTATGGTGCAACTCTACATTCATGTGAGCTTGGCAGTGGTGCGGGGAATCGTCAGGGACAGACATCACAACTGCGTCAGAGAATTTGAGCAACTGTTTGCATCGATTTACATTTGCATCAGTCAGCTCGACTGAGCTGTTTTTCTGTTACACTGTCCTGATCTATCCTATCTCAGTCAGTTCAGAGAAAAAAAAAAAAAAAGAAACTAAACAAATATGAGCTCCAGCTGGTGAGCAAATTTTCAACATGGTTTGCCTCACGTGGTAAAATTTGGACAGGCGGATGCCGGATTTAGGACTGTGCACAGTGGCACAGTTGTTTGCAGTAAGAAGCTCCTGGCTTTGAATACGTGCTATGGGATTTTCCCCATGCATATGTGAGTTTCTTCAATGTCCTCCAGCTTACTTCAGGAGTCCAAAACCAGGCATGTCAGGTTAAATAGTCTCTTCAAGTTGACCTTAGGTGATGTGTGCTTTCACAATTATTTGTCTTTGAGTTACTTTGTGTGGATGGACTGGTGACCTGTTCAAGTTGAAGCACAGATGGGTAAAAAAAAACGATCAAGGAAGGTTGTCTCTAGGCATGTATGGAAAGTTGAGTGGGAAAAAAAAAATGTGGTAGAAAAATGATGCAGCAAGCAACAGAGCGCAGCTTTGTGAGGATTGTGAAGCAAATTCCAATTCAAGGACTTGGAGGAGCTTCATGCGGGGTTGACTGCTGTTTGAGTCAAAGCTTCAAGAGCCAACACATAAAGAACAGGCTGTTAGAGGAGTGGAGTGAAGGTTCTCCTTCACTCCACTTCACTTCATAAAATCAGAGCAGAAAGAGCCCCAACCAATAATTCAGTCCATGGAGTCATACTTCTCAGCTGGCCAAAAAACTCCTAGATAAAAATATTATTTTATTGGTCTTGTGTGATATTTAGCTTTTCTGAGAAACTGACTTTTGGGTTTTCACCAGCTGCAGCAAAGTCAGTACAAATGTTTCACTTTCCGAAAAACAAATCTGATAATTAGTTAACATAGTAGGTATTCAAATTTATTCAGATGCACCTGAATTTTTTTTTAAATGAGTATGTGAATATGAATATTTTGATAAGATATAGTCTGAAAAAAAAACAGAGACTGGAAAAAAACAGATGAATGTGTGGATGGACAGATCAACGGACAGTAGACAAGGAGATAAATGACCATTTACCTCTTGGGAGGAAGTCCAAGTTATTTCAATTATGTTCAAATATTTTCACAAGCCATTCCATCTTATACATTTAACACAAATACCAACTTGTTTCATTACTACTATTCAAATTCTATGTCTGGATTGAACACTCTGTTAAGGGTAAGTGCACTGAATGTTGGCAACTGTTTAAACATAAAAATTTTTAGTCTGTAAAAAAATGCTACATTTTTTACAGACTTGTAAACAAGGAAATCTCATGAACATTAAATGCATTTACAGTGACCCCTACAGGTCAAATGGAACCACTGCCTGCTTTCTAACAGATCAGTGATGAACTTCGTACAAATTCTCAGCTTCTATTAAATATATATGTAAGAACCTACTCTGCTCTCCTGCCCCCACACAATTAAAATAGACTCCAAGACATCTTATAAAAACGCATTTTATTCAATAGCATCAATGCTCCATAATGAGAGACGGTCTTGGTGACTTAAGCATTTTCACTGAAAACCATTAAGCCCATCGATCTAAAACTTATTCTCTAATTTTTCCCATCACAACTACAGGGTATAATGTATAACATTCAGAGCAACAAAAACAAAAACAAAAATAAAAATACAGCTTATGTATTGCATTGCATTTACTATATATGATCAATCCTTAGATCCTGCAGGGGACCAAAAAAAAAAAAAAAAAGCCACAAAGCACTGCTGAGTATTTGAGAGCTACAAACGAAATTTCACAAGGTTCTGAGGACAACATGTTTAATTAAAATTGAAAAACATTGCTTTACAATTAATTTCCTCATTTTCTGAGAAACTTTTAAGAGTTTAAAACAAACGAACCAAAGGGGAAAGAAAAAAATTACAATTGAAAAAAAAAAAAAAAAAAAAAAAAAAAAAAAAAAAAAAGGGTCCCCTTTAAATATTTTATAAAAAAAAAGGGGGGTGTTGGGTTTTTGTTTTAGAG